AACACATTCAACATCCGGCAATGATTCAGATATTGCAGCATTTGAAAAGAAACAATATGAAATTTTACTTGGACAGTAAGTAAAATCTGATTATATATGAAGACAAAAAAGTTCTTCTATAATGGCTTTTTTTAATTTCTTTTCAAGCTATGATCATGAATTAAAAATTCAAAAAGCAAGAGAAAATGCACTTCGAACAAAAAAAGAAAAAGAAATTGAACGTTATGATATACTATTACACGATTTTCTAGTGAGTAGTTACAATAATTTCTAAAATGATTCACCTAGGTTTATTCTCAATTTTCTCACTGTCATAACCGCTAATAATCTGAAGAATTAAAAACTAAGTTTTTAAGCTCCTAGACTCTGCAAATAAGATTCTGTTAAGATACATCAATCTTATGGAGAGCATAAAAATAATATTTCCATACGAAATAACATTTATGCTTTTCATAAAGTTGATGTATCTTAATCAAAACAATGTCGTAGAACACCAGAAAATATTTCATTCAGAGTTCTATTTGCAAATTGAAAAACTTGATTGCAGGTTTTTCAGAGACTCTATCTTTGGAAAACTAGCATTAAATTTTATCTTCGAAAATAAAGTTCTCTATACAAATTTCTATTTGGATACTTGTTCGTGGTTACGACAGTGGAAAAAAATTGAAAACATTCTCAAAATATTGACATTATCTATATAGGATCAATCAAAAGCTGATGAACGTCGAGAAAATGAAGTTCGTCGTAAAATTAATAAACTTCATCATACACGACAACTTTATGAAACCTTACAGGCAAAAAATTATGAGCAGTATGTTAAAAAATTATTTTCTATTTCTTTATTCATTTTTCATAAATTATTTAAATAGACAATTAGAAGATTTACAAAGACAACGTGCAGAATTACAACATAAAATAAAAAGAAAAGATCAACGTACAAAACATTTTATTAAAGATAAAGAAGAAACTACTAATTTAGTATGAACTTTTTTTTAAAGTCTTGTTTTAATTAATTTTTTCTTTTAATAATAGTCTCGATCATTGGCAAAATCTTCACAAGATCTTCGAGAATTATTACGAGAAACAAATGAAAATTTTGCTGAAAGAGCTAAAAAAGCTCAGTTAACGAGCAGTGTTTTAGACAAAAAGACAACAATGCCTCTTAATCGACGTCATTTTCAATCGTCATTGAGAACATAGAAATTTTTGTTTTTCGAGCGTTTGTTTGCACGCATAAAACAGTATGCATAATCAAAAAAAGTGATTTTTTTTCTTCTATCTGTTTTGCTAAAAAACATTTTTTCTTCTCTACATTTGTTTTGTTCTTTTTTTCGGTAACAGCAATTTATGCTCTAAACCAAATTTTTTTTACAGATAGTACGTCAATGTGTGTCTCGTTTAACTCATTGAATCACTTCTTCTTTTTTGTTTGTTCCCTGGTTCTATTCTAATGTATGTAGTTCATTTGTGTGTTTTTCATGGAAATCATTGTAGTGAATATAAATTTATACATTTATACAACTGTTTCAGGAATATACTGATGACTACTAATGTTTTTGAAATGATTTTGTTTCTTAGACAAAAAACAAAAACCTTTGAAAATTTTCTGTAGAAAAAAATAATAAATAAATTGTAGTTAATTGTTTAAAACCAGTCGTGTACCTCATTGCCGAAAATGAGATAGTAGAAGAGTTAGGTCGCCCAATTTCTTTTTGACAATCTTTATTTTCGTTCGCTTTTTTTGGGTAAATACCATACAGATACATACTGTAGATATATGATCTCGGAAGATCGCCGATGACACCACGTCACCCGAAATTAAGATAGCCTCAATCTTGACAAACTTTGATTTTTCTGCAGCGGAGTTTCAGTGTTATATTGATTTTTTTTAAATTCATCGAGTCCCAACGTATGTTCAATCCCCTTTTTTCAAGTCCTGACGACCTTGCACATGTATATTGACCTTCAAATTCTACTGTCTTTAAATTTTTATTGAAGAGTGATTTAAATGCATGTAATATGATATGAGATAAACATGTAAAAGTTTTATTTAATCATAAATCATACTGTTTCAAGTTTATGAGAGACATTTTTTCGTAATCTGATTTTAGGGCAAGTAATCAATTTTTTTTGACCATCACAATATAAGATCGAAATTTTAGATAACATGAGCTAAAGTGAAAATTGACTTTTTCATTGTAAACAATTCTCTATTTAATCGAAATAATGTCCAAAAATAAACGTTCTCATACAAATCTCAAAGAATTTGGTACACGTAACGGTTGATACATGTATATAATGTTCTTTATTACACCATTCGTACAAATAATGAAATAGAGAATGTGTCTCATCAAGCGTTGGAATTCATACCCGACATCTATGAAGAATACTATAAGAAGCCACAATCTAACCAATCAATTTAAATTAAATTTCGATTAAAGTCTTTCATTCATTTGTCTTCCTATATATAAATAGAATTGTTGTGCAAAACTAACATTGATTGATTTCGTCTAACGAAATAAATGGAAGAAATATTTCCAAAATTATTTGATTGTCCTGATTATCTTCAAGGAAAATATTGTCATGCACTATGCAATTATCGTCATCAGACAGAAGAAGAAAAACAAGCAAGTAAGTTTCTCGTTCTAATATTCTAATTCTAAGTTTATTCATATTGATTCTCTAGTTGAAAAATATCGTGAATCACTTCGATTAAAATTAAGTACAAAGAAATCAAATCGCTTTAGTCCTGTAAGTAAATAAGTTTGTCACAACTTTAATTTCATTTTGACACTTCATATAGGTTTATATTATTGCTGGACCAGAACGATCTGGTATTATTTATAATTAGTTTTTTTTTCGTTTTTTGTTAAAATAACTTTTTTTATTTAAAGGAACTTCATGGTTATTTAATGCTGTTCGTTTACTTCTTGTACATCAAGATTCTCCATTTGGTCCAGCCGATAGCTATCGTTTAAATCATATAACAAAAAATGACATTGAAACACGTTTAATAGAAGCATGTGGCCGTCCATTAGTTGTACGCACAATGCGCATACCTGAGACAAATTGGGCAGAAAATCTTGATCGTTCTGGACACGGTTATATGGTATTTGTTTCTCATCGAGATTTACGTGATGTTATTGATGATTGTTTAGCTATCGGTAAGCGATTTAATTTAAAAAAAAAACAATAGATCAAAACAAAAAAGGAAAAAGAAGATTTACTAATAATTTAGGTTGGATGAAACATGATATTGGAGTTATACTATCAAGACTTAAAGCATATATGACTGCATATGAATATTGGCGCTCAATTGCTAAAGGAGATTTTCGTTATGAAAGTACACATAATGAACCAGTTGAACAAATAAAACATCTTGCTCGTTTAATGGGTATTGAAAGTACACATGCTGAACATATAGCGAGAGAAATTAATTCATTAAGACCTGGTCAAGCTATTGGGCCTGATCAAGTGTATGTTAAAATTTATTTCTTTTTCTTCTATAAGAGAAGATAATTTTAAAATGATTTTTATTATAATTTAGAACAAAAATGTGGCCAGCTCAACGTGTTATTGAAACATCACGTGCAAATGGTAATGATATAGATGAAAAGGAAACGAATGATAAGACACAGGAAACATCAGCAGTTGTTGTTGTACCTGAACAAGGAAAATTATCGGAAAGTGAACGAAAAAAAATTCGTGATGCTCATTGTGATTATCATGATCGTTATGGTTATGTTTGAATCAAAACAATACAACCCAAAATAGAACATTCTTTTTTCTTTTCAGTCAGATATAAACATTATCAGAAGTCTTAAACTTACTTAAATGAGCACTTTGTATATATAAAATATATTCATTTATTCTTTGTTCGCATTATTTTCTTTTATTTAATGATACTTTTTTCTGTCGGCTGTATTTAGCTCTTAGATAGGCATTTGTGTAGTATTGTACGCACGTCTTATTTTTAAAGAAATCATCTACTGATATTTTAAGCAAAAAGAACTATTTTTTGCTATAAGACTAAATTAAAGATTTAATTGGTCTTTAAATAGAATGAAAAATCGACGAACTAAAAGTTTTTTGTAAATTTTCGACTGATAGAATCTTCAATGTGTAGAAAAAGAAAACTTTGTTCTTTCTATTACAGATTACTTCAATATCAATAATAAGCACTAAAGAGTATCGTACGACTTAGTTATCTTTTGACTAGTAGTACGTGATAAAATCCACTTTTCAATATTCAAAAAAATATTGATGAAACAAATTGACATATGAACTAAGAGCTATGTATGTATGAAAATGTTCAACTTTTTGCATAACTCTAACGTATTGACGAAAACGATTTGTAGTTCTATATAAAAAAACTGGCTAATCACGTGCTTATCATGCCTAAATATAGGTAATGTCAAAGTAAATAATGTTATAATATTTGAAAACTCATATGCATATATACATATACATATATTAGTAAAAGTCTATTGGATTTTAGAAAAGAAATTTTGTTCAAAAGTTCGTAATGATATGAAATCCTTAAAAAGTATATGCATGCATCGGACCATCCTGACAAACGTTGCGATTCGTGTATATGCGAAATATTTGGGGAGAAATTTATTTTGATGTGATACATTAAAATTTTATATATAGTTTCTTATTCATTGCTTTTTAAACCGCTCTATTGCACTCGGGATGATCTAAGTATTTTAAACTATGTTATTAATGTACGATTTTGATGACTACTCTTCTTCGAGATTAATTATTAATTAAATGTTGCTGATACGTAAAAAATAGCCCGAAATCAAAAGTGAAAATATTCAATTTAAATTAGTTTGAATGACAAGATTCGTTTGGAATTTTACATAAGTATTTACAAAACAAAAAACATTCGTCAAGGTATATCGTTCTTATCTCTTGCTGTTATTTTAGCCATCTTTCGATTATCATTTGTTATTTTCTTTTCTCACAAATACTCATTTCATCTACTCACAATATATATGGCTAGAGCAATTCCAACATTTCAAACATTAACTACAGTAAATTTTACAAATATGATTTTGTGTTTTACCAGTGTTTTTGCTTTTTTTGTGCAAAGGTCGAAGCATTTCGAAAAACGATTAATGAACATTTTTCAAGTAATTATTTATTATTTCTTGTTATTTTCTGTTTTTTTTTAATCTTATTCTGTTTAGAACAAATTAGTAATGGTGAAGAATATGATGTGCGTGACATAAAACGATTTAATGAAATCGATGAATATACACTTATGTTTATACAACATGGACAACATGGTAAAGCATTTGATGAAGCAAAAGCTTTTCATCATTTTCATGAATCAATGACATGGCGAAAGCAACATAATGTCTATGGTAAATTTATTTTTCTTCGAGAGAAACTTAATATTTTATTTTGTAAAAATATATTGATTATTATTTCAGATGTATCCACTGATCAATTTCCATCATATTATTTTGATCGAAAAGCAATATTTTATAAAAATCATGATATTAATAATTATCGAATATGTAAGTTTAGTTCTTATATATTTTGTTTTTCTTTAATTAATATCTTATTTTTTCTATTGTATAGTACATTATGTGGTTCGTACTTTTAATAAAGGAGAAGAAAATAATGAACTTTTAAAACATTTTATGACATATAATTTTGAAGAACAAATACGAACTCATCCTGGTCAAAGAATTGTTATACTCTTTGATATGAGTGAAACAGGTCTCAGACATTTGGTTAGTTTTATATATATACATATAAAATTTATTATTTTTATCGTTGTTTATTCAACCTTTTTCTGTTAAGGATTATGATCTTATTAGATTTGTGATCAATTGTTTGATATATTATTACCCAGGATTACTTTGTATGCTTATTTTTTTGTTTTTAATGAATGACGATTTACACTTTTATTTTTAGCTCACATGTTGATCTATAAACTACCATTTATTTTGCAAGGTAGAAAAACTCTATTTTTATATGAGACAAGATGTTTTATATGTTGATTTTCTTCTTAGCGGCTTGGAAATTAATTAAAACATGGTTACCAACTGAAACACAAAATGCTGTTAAATTTGTTGATGAAAAAACTATTACACAATATATTTCACTTGATCAATTATCAAAAGCAATGGGTGGTACTGCAAGTGATGAAGCTTAATCATAAAAAAAAGAAATCATGACAGTGAGCATCATATAATTCTTTTTGAATATAATTACAATGTTATTCTTTTCTTTTTCTATAGAAATTTAATAGATATCAATAAAAACTAGTAAAGACCATTAATCAATAGAAATACTTGTTTTTTATTTAATAAAAAAGTTGTTTTAAAATCTATTTGAGAATATTTTTGTCATATGGTTTAACTCTTTTTTTAGACAAAAGAAAAAGAATTTATCTAGAAAATATTCATATTAGACATATACTCGATAAAAGTCATATGTATATATTGTATTTTTCTTCGTCATATGATTACATTAATTAAGATGAATATTAACAATATGTCTTTAAATATAGATATTACTCAAAATATCATATTCTCAGCTTACGGGTATTTATATTTCTCTGTGCATTTATGTTAACTCTACACTTTTCATATATTACGCTGTTGTCATTACTCATACTTACCTACTACTGTTCTTTGTGCAAATATGAGTTGGATATATATATCAATTGTTATGTATCAAAAAAGTTCGCTGCACGTGACACTGTTAAATGTCATACATCGTCTTTTCGAACATTGCAAGGTAATTTATATTTATACGTAATAAGATATATTTTGTGTTAATGTTTGAGTTTAAGGTTTTATTATAGTGTCTGGCTCAATGACATTATCGATAATAACCTTTCAAACTTGAGCAATGGTACATTTTAAATAAAATTTTGAAAAATATTTTCTTTCAAATAGAGATTTTTGAAAATTAGTTTCTTGCAAGTATGAAAATGTCGTAGAAATAATTATCGAGTTCTTTGATTAGAATTTATTGAATTAAATAATAAATATGATGAATGCGATACTTGACATTTCGATAAAAATAATCAATATGGAATTATATTTAACGAAAAGAAACTACAATTTATGGTTATAATAATTCTAAGACTTTTTAGAACGATTGTTTTAATTCATTGAAAATTGTTTTTTTAATTTTATTTATTTGATAGAAATATTTTATTTTGAAATTATCAAACGGTCTTAGTTGTAAGAAATATTTTTTTATATAGATTCTTTTATGTCAGTAGTGTGGAAAATCATGCACTTACACTTATGACTATGAATTGAAGCTCAATCAACTATTAAATGTATCGATCGCACTGTTCACTCAACCTGATCAATTGCCGATGATGTGTATTAATGTGAGTGAAGGAAACTAATTAGATTATCGAATCACATATGATATTCAGAAAAATGAAAAAAAGAAATTGATAATGCTTGTTTACCTAAATATATTTTATTTTTTATATATTTTCTCTTAATATATATTCGAACGAAATGAGAGGATTCAAAAATTGATTTTATCATCATAGATCTATAGATAATACATTTAGAGACGTAGAATGATAGACATCTTAAATTTTCTTCAATGTTTTATTATTGTAATCATGTAAAGATTATTAGAATCATTAAAATTTTCCGTACGAATAACTAGTCTTTACATTCTGATGAGTAGAGAAATTTATACTAGAAAAAAAAGTACCAAAATATCGAGCTATTTGCTCTAATTATTATACTAAACATAATGTCATTTATTAGGTTTTTTTTACATGATAGCGGACGTTTCAAAATAACTAATCTATTTCATATTTTTTTTGAATATATGAAATTAGAATAACATCACATAACATGTTGAATATAAGAAAAAACCAAAGTTTAATGTAAGTGTATGTTTTTTTTTGTTTGCTATGTAAATATTTATTTTCTTATATATGTTAGTTAGTGTTTAGTTCTAATATAATATTAATAAGAAGAAAATTTCATATTTGAACATCTTACAATCACAAATTATTCAACTTTAAATAAACATAGATGGCATTATTCTTACTGCGAATCTTACCTTTACACAGGAATGGTGTGAACACATATGCATAAAAGAAATATTGCATGTTTTTCTTGTTCTTTTTTTAATCTGAAAATTGTTTATTGGTTTGTTTTATTCTTCATAGTTTTTATTATTGATTATATAAATATTAACAATTTATTTATTTTATTTGAATAGAACTTATTTTTATTTACTCAAAAGTTTTGTTAAAATTTTCAAAAATGTACAAATTATATTTGCTTTCTAGGTCATGATAATAAAAACCATAGGTCATTGAGTTTGATGAATATGATATTAAAAATAAAACCTTTTTCTTCTTGAGCAAGAAAATCAATATTTTAAATTTTTTAGTTAATTAGAAAAAAATTTCTATTAAATAGAAAGATTTCCGGAAGTATTGAATGCACTCATTCTTATTAAATGAAGTATTAATAAAGATATTGAAATTCAATATAAGTATATACGAATCATGGACTTTTTATAACCATTGATATTAATAAAAACTGAAACAAAAATTATTTTTTATTATTTTTTCAGATATGATAAAAGAAAATTTAGTAATTAAGATGAGTTATAAAGATATTATACATATATCGATTATCGTGTGTTATTATTTTCGTGTTTGATTTATATTGGTTCGTTTTGCATCTGTTATCTCGTTTCAGTGCATCATATCTTATTCCTGTTTTTTTGTTATCATTTTGTCACATGGCGTCATCCATTCCAACATTTCCAACATTAATTTCAGTATAATTTTATCATAGATTATATTAATTAAGTTACTTTATTTTATTCTTCAAAGGTTGAGAAATTTCGAGAAATTGTCAATACACATTTTGAAAGTACGATTCGATCGATTGTATATAATAAATAACTTAAGATTTGCTTTTTATTAGAAGAAATAAACGAAGATGAACTATATGATCCACGTGATATTCAACGTTTTAACGAAATCGATGAATATACATTAATGTTTATTCAACATGGACAATTTGGTCCAAATTTTGATGAAGATCGAGCACTTCGAGTTTTTAATGCATCAATGAGTTGGAGAAAAAAACATAATGTTTATGGTACAATTGGAATTAAACTAGAACTAATATTTTTCTTCCTAATTTCGTAAATAAATAAATATATATATATGTATCTTTTTCCTTTCTTATAGACATCTCAACAAATGAATTTCCTGCCAATTATTTTGATCGAAATGCAATTTATTTTAAAAATCATGACAAGAATAATTATCCAATAAGTAAATAGGAAATCTTTCTTTTTTTTGTCTTATTAGATTTTAATATTCTATATCTCGATAGTTCATTTTGTCGTTCGAACATTTAAGAAAGGTCAAGAAGATAATGAAGCTGCGAAACGTTTTATAACATATAATTTTGAAAGACATGTTCGACATCATCCGGGTGTAAGAATTGTTATTCTTTTTGATTTAAGTGAAACTGGTCTCAGAAATCTAGTTCGTTTTCTTAGAATTTGATTTAATCGATCTAGCTTGCTTTTATTAGGATTACGATTTAGTTAAATTTATTATTGATTGTTCGCAAATTTATTATCCAGGTTTATTAGGTATCTTATCAAACATGCATTGAGTTTATTTTTTATAATGTCATTGCTTTTAGCTTATATGATGGATTTTAAAATGCCATTCATTTTGCAAGGTAAATGCTTGTGTATTGGGAGGAAGGAAAAAAACAAGAGAGAGAAAAAAAATGATTGCATGCATTTATTTTTCTTTTCTTAGCTGCATGGAAAATAATTCGCTCGTGGTTGCCCGCTGAAGCAGAACAATTTATTAAATTCGTCGATGCTAAATCGATCACACAGTTTGTAGAACCCGATCAATTGTCAATAGCAATGGGCGGCACTGTAAGTGAACCGAATTGATCCAATTAAAGATTGGGTAGCATGCATAGAGAAAAAAACAAGGACAAAAAAAGAAGAAGCTCACTACTCTTTTTTTCTTTTTGTTTATCTAATGGATTCACTGCAATTTACCATGGTCACATAACTAGATATATGTTTTCCCGCTGACTTTGTAGACAATTTTATTGTCTCCATTTCCGTTTTTTGTTTCTTTCGAAATAAGATGAGAACGGAAAACGAAAAATAACAAAACGTTCACTAGTGTTATGTATGTATATCTATATATATATATACAAACATGCGAGTGGATACACGCGCATTACAGACATTAATAGACAGACAGATGATAGGAAAACATTGTAGTTATTTCATTCTTGTGTTCCATCCTACTGTTACCGTTATTTCCTATTTTTTTCCTTCTATTTTTATCCGGTCTCACTAGATGCGTCATCGTTTTTTTTTTCATCTTTCTCGTTTCTCGTCCTACAGCTTTCATCAGAATCGACCGAATAGACAAAAAAAAGAAGAAGAAGAAGAAGTCGGGTGAAGCTTGCTACTCTCTTGAGGGTGAGTATGAACGACACAACGACAAGTCTACCAGTAATAACATCAACAACGGCATCGAAGACGATGAAGAAAATGAGAATAAAAAGAAAAATGTCGACTATACCAATAATAACAACAACAACAACAAAAACGACGAAGACGACAAAAGTTTTTTAGATTATTTAATAAGTCATAACGATGTTCTCTAGTGTCTTATCTATCTAACCATGTCACACAAAGCTCTCAATCTGAATGATGTATGTGAATAGAGAACGGGAGACATTCGATCAAATCGATAAAAAGAATTTATCTTTCTATTTATCTATTTTACTTTTCTTCTTTTCTCGTTTGTATGTATTTAGATCATGAATATTTGAACGATGACTTCATTTAAATAAACGGAAAAAAAACGATAGATAGATTATATACATATGTATATATAGTGTTTGTTTAGTAGTTAATAAACAATAAGACAAGAAGATACATTTTAAATTTACTAATTATATTATGATAATAAATTTTTACTTTTATTTTAGGATACAACAAATTATGTTCATATTCATGATCCAATAAACGGCATTATTGAAGATTCAATGAATGCAAGTTTAAAGAAAAAAGTAAATTTATTTTTTTATTAAAAAGCATTTCTTTTTTAAATAGTTTTGATTCTATTGTTAGGTTACTTTTGCTGATAGCAGTTCACTTGATTTATCCCTTTCATCATCACCAACAGAATCAATAATTACAACAGACAATGTACCAAAGATGGATTCCCCACCATATGATGAACCACTAACACCAGAAGAATCTAATCTTTCTACATCTACATCTGACTCATGCCACATAGTTACTAGAAAAGTAAATTGTTCATAAAAAAAGATTAATTATTTTATATTTTAATTATTCTAGTCAATTCTACAAAAGTCATCTTTAGTAAATGGATCTATGGGTGAAGAAAAAGTTTATCATGGACTTGGAATAAGGTTTGAATCTGTTTTTTTTTTAATTTTTGTTTTAAAAGAAAAATTATTTTTTTTTAGACCATATGATGAAATGATCTTTGAACGAGCAGATTCTTCATCACATGGAACAACTGATTGTGTTCAAACATTACAATTAACAAATGTAGGTGATAAAATCTTAACATTTAAAATTAAAACAACATCACCTGATAAATTTCGTGTTAAACCTGGCTGTAGTCTTCTACATCCAGGTGCAACAACTACTATTTCTGTTTATTTATTAAAAGGTTAGTTTGTTTTTATTTACTAATAAAATTTATTAAAATTTTGAGTTTACTTTTTTTCTTTTCAAAGCTTATTGTACACCAACAAGTAATATAAATAAAGAAAAATTCTTAATTATATGGACATTAATTGGCCATGAATTAAAACAAGGACAACTAATTGAATTTTGGAAAAATGTATCTAGTTCAGTGCTTTATGAACATAGGTATTTTTATTTGTTTATATATCATAAAAATAATTAATAATAACTTTTTATTTAGATTGAAATGTTCACTAAGTAATAAATCAACATCTGCTACATCTATAAATCAATCAAATGACATAAATTCTTTACGTTCATCTATTTCGTCTGATCAGTCAATTGTTGAAATGCAAAATATAGTAAATAATTTTTTTTTTTTGCTTTTTCTTAATTAATCTATTCAATAATTTGTTTTTTATTTTAGTTAAAAGATTGTATTACATTACAAAAAACAACTATAACACAAACTTCAAGGGAACTTAAACAAATTCGATATCTTCTATTAATAATTTTTGCATTTTTATTTGTTATTCTATTATTGGATGTGCATAAATACTTTTTTTCTTTTTCGTCATCATCTGTAAAAAGTGATTTGTGAGAACTCATACTTCTTTGCTTTTTATTTTAAATTTGTACTAGATTGTATACCGATGGTGCTAATCATAAAAACAACAGAAAAAATGATAACATAGAAATCATGACCCTGAAAAACAGATGAATGACATATAAGTTAATTTAATAAAGTATATATACTAATTTTTAAGATTATCTAACATAATTAATAAGTCAATGCATGCTTTTTATTTAATGCAAAATTTTGAATTATAATGAAAGTAATTTTCTATTATATATATAGAATAAGAAAAGATCAACAAATACGAAATAAAAAGGCTAAATGATTGGCAAATAAGTTTCTTATATGATATTTAATTAAAAAACAAAACAGAAAAAGGTAATGACATTGTATTAACGAGGGAAATCCTCAAACTGATAAATCGCTTTCGAGTCGAGACTATGTGCATTGTGTAGACCCAAACGAGTTATGAATACCTTGAAAAAAGTTTGTACCCTTAGTTTATTCCTACGGAAGTACTATATTTTCATGGTATTTTTTAATTGAATGCTGTGTTCTCTCTCAGGAACACCAAAAAAACTAATCTTCGAGTTCCGATTTGAAACTTTGCATAGAAACAAGCCTCAACGAGATTAGTTTCTATTGAATGGTTCAGATCTCGTCGCTTTTCTTATCCAAAGATACAACTATGGTAATAGTGTATCTTTAATATCACTCATATAAATCGACAAAATTTTTGTGCTCATATTTCAGGATGGAATTAAGTCTAACGACTGATAACATTCGCAATAAACTACTTTCGCTAAGACTTGTCTCTATGCCGAGTTTCAAATCGAAATTTAGAACACAGTTTTTCTCATGTTGCAACAATAAATCAAGGGCACGAACTCATTTTAGTGTATTCATAGAACATTTGGGTCGTGTAATGCATACACTCTCAACTAAAAAGCAATTTATTAGTTTGAAGCTTCCCTCATAAGCAAACCTAGATCAATGTCAGATGCATATGATCACAAAATTCGACTAAATGATTTTGTATTATCCAACAATCATGTTGTATGCTACATGTCATGCGTTAAAATATACAAACTTATTTGAAATATAGATCAATAAAGTTTACTCTAGATTTAATTTTATGGAACAATTTAAAATTTTCTATATGAATATTCTCGATAATTATGTTCGTCACAATGATCAAAAGCATTTTATTAAAGAACAATATGATATATAATGAATAATTATTAGTTTTTATGAAAATATTTATGAATAATAATGTCAACATGATGAATGGAACCTAATAATAGTGCCGAAAAAGATCGGAAAATATCTTTGAAGACAAAAGCAAACGATTCATTTCTTCATAATAATCTACAAATATTGAATAATTGTCAATTTATTGATAGTTCAACAATATACATTTTGATATTTTCTCTTCAAACATCAGATCATTACACATAAAATTGCAAGAGATCGAATCGTATAGTTATTTTAGTATAACATCGTATAAATGATTATTCTTAGTTCATATTATTCAGCATCATGGGAGATTATTAGGCTATCTAATAGTCTCACAGAAGTTATCATTATTTCATATGATTATTAGAGAAAAAAAAGTTATTTGCAAAGAATATTTTTTGTAAAATTAGTATTCAGAGACAATATTTGAATTGTATGAAATGCTAGAATACCTTTTATTCGACTACATTTTAAATCTGCTGTACTCGTGAGATTCAATGATAGATACTTTTTAATAGTTTAATATATTTTTATAACTAAAATAAAGTTTCGATCTAATTTGCTCTATTTATTATTCATATTATCATAGTTTGAATTCATATTGGTATCACCAATGTACTGTTTATCATTCAATCTACTCGATTATAAAATAAGGTTTTCTATTTCATGTACTTATGTGTAATTGAAGTTGAAAGTTAATGTCGTGACTATCTCTCTCTACTATTATTATTTTCAATTAAATTCATATATAATAGTTTATTGCTTTTTTAGCTATAGCTTGCACATAGAAAAAAAACCATTCCTGTTTTGAGTTCTCATATCACATAGTTAAGCACACAGTAAAGTACGAGTCAATGATCGGAAATCTTGACGTACTTCAATAATAATCTTTTAGATTCTTTTCAAATAGATAAAGATCATCGAATGAAGATTACAGTAACATTTCTATAAATAAGGCAGGCATTTTTCAATTGATTTTTATTGTATTTTCTCACAAGTATGACTTGAAAAATCAATTGTTATTCAATTATCTTGTTCACAATAAGAATTGCAAGGCGATACAGGCATCGAGACAAACGCTTTCATCTGAAATCTATTACTAAAAGATGCCAAACTATTATCGAAGAATTCAAAGGAAATTAATAACAATAAGAGCACAGAGATAACGTTCAGCTTTAATTATACATGAGTACATGAAACAAATCATTTTGTTTAAAGATGACAATCATACAGTCACCTGAATAATAACAAATACACTGACTGTATAAATATAATACTAAACCATAATATTGTGAAGAATAAGTAGACAAAAACAACAAGCATGTTACAAATACAAGTCGACAAAATTCTAATCATCATACACGAAAAATCATCTGAATTATTCTGACTCAATCGAATAATATTTGATCTATTGTAAATTTCATCCTTATCGTTTGTAGTTGATCTTCATTGACTTTTATTTTAATTCGATGAGACACATAAATCTCTATATATTGACTTAGAATATTGCATTTACATACATCATGTCAATTGAAGTACAATTCATGATCTTCAGATAACATATCGCTTAGGTTTATTGGCTGTACTAGTCATTGTTTATTCGAAAAAAAACATATTTGAACAATGAAAATGAAAAAAATGAAAAAAAAATATGATAGTCTTTTCAAGATAATCAAATTCGATATGGTTTAAGAATTTCATATTACACATTTATTCACATTATTGCTGTTAGTTATGAATATCGTAGTTTCGCCTTCAAGCAGAACTTTTGATAGTTTTTAGAAGCGGAACGAGCTAAAAATTTGGCAGACAGTTTTCCGGTAATAATTTGAAATGGTCACAGACAGGATATAGCAAGTGGGTGGGACTAAGCCACCATGTCACCTGATAGATCGACACCTATGTCTTCAAGATTGTATGCCAAATTCAATAGTCGAAGCAGTAGTGTTTTGTTCGAATGAAATCACGTAGGAATACATTCAGAGATTATTTTCAAAAGAAAATCAAAAAATCACGAATGACCTGTCAATCGTATTAATAGACTTTTCTTGTGCTTTTCCTCATGCGACTATACTACTAATGACAGAATGCTTGCGCATCATATTTTTAAAAGAAATTGACCATAGGTAGTCAACTGCAAAAAACACAAGACTTTCAAAAGATTTTTTCGTCTGTAGAACTCATTGTTCTGATCATTTTGATAAAAAAGAAACATTCAAATTTACTCAGTAAATCGTGGTTTTTAGGATTGAATCACTCAAAAACTTTAATTCCTGATCAGCAGAAGGGAAGAACAGCCGATCTTTTTGAGTATTTTGCTCCTAATACCATGGTTTTTTGAGTAAATTTGAATATTTTTTTTTTTACCAAAATGATCTGTGCAACAAGTTCTACAGACGAAAAAGTCTTCTGAGAACCTTGCAATTTCTTGCAGTTAACTACCTATGGAAGTATTCATTAAAACTAGGATTTGTAAGCATTTAATCCTTGATAGATAAATAAATAAAAGACAAAAACAAAACTTAGTATCATCTAGTTTTTCATATGAAATTTTTACATGAATATGACATCAAACGACTATTATACGATAGCATAAAAACTAACATATAAATTATAATTGTCATTGCAGGTTTTTTTTCCAAAAACAAAAAACAAAAAAAAAAGAAAAGAAAAACGAACAACAATATAACTACAAATACGTTACAGCGTGAAGAACACTCACATGATATATTCTCTCTCTGTATATGTATATATATATGTTTTCTCTTTTGTTATGTAAAAAAAACATGAAATCAAAAGTATAGACTAGATGAGAAACAAAAGCAAAGAGAAAATGAAAGATGTGAAGATTAAGAGCGGCTGTTTTCGAAAAAACAAATATCTGACATAAGTAAAAATATAATAATAATAATAATTAATGACAAAAAAAAAGAGAAAAAAAAGAAAAAAAAAAGTTTGTATTAATTTTTTGTTTAACTGACAACTACTGAGCGGCATGTTCCTTTTGTAGATGATCTTGTCATAATAGATTTACATGATATATCATCATCATCATCATTCGATTGTTTATGATCTTCATTTGTTATAAAATTTGATTTTATCGATAATTTTGAATTTATCAATGGACCATTCGATTTTGTTAATAATGTATTATCTGTATGACTATATTGATGATTAATAAGATGCATTGAAAACATAAAATAAACATCACATTGTCGACATGGATGTAATCGTGCTTTTGAACCATGTTGCACCATATGATGATAAAGTTGTGATGCATCATCAAATGTTGATTGTTCACAAAGACTACATTGATAATCATGGTTTGGATATTGATGTTCAATAAGATGTATATGCATTTTAATAGCTGTATCAAAATTTGTTCGACATAAATAACAATAATGTACACTTGGAGATGAAGATGAACTATGTGAATTTATTATAGACGAATCAATACTATCAATAAGAAAACCACTTGTTAATGAGAATTTTTTAATTTGATGTTGAAATATATGTTCACGTAATGAAACAATTTGATTACACTTAAGACTAAGAAAAAAAGAAAAGTGTATAAAAAAAAAAAGAAAAGAAAAGATTTAAAATAAAAAAATTTTGTTACCAATGATATTCTTCATTAGAATGCTTTGGTAAATGAACAGATGTAAAATGTTGTTGATAAGTTTTAATAGTATCAAATTGTACATCATTTTGACATTTTGGACAACAAAGTGATGTTGATGTACTATCAATTTCTGGTATCATATGCGGATCTACGAGAAAAAGAAATCTTATTAAAATAATAGAATTATTATGATTAACTTTTTTTCTGTCAATGATCTATTCATAATTAACAATCTTGTGTTATTTCTTTCGTTTTTCAATGTCTTGTAGCCGTCATATAAAACAATGAGAACGGGATCACTTTTTCTGTCGTAATACTGCGTTCAGCTCTAATAAATATTGGACTAATTTCTTTTAATCAATCTTATAGAAATCAAATTGGTTTCATTTTCTTTACGATATAATATTAGAAAAAAACTGAGTCTTATGCTCAAATGTCTGTCGATATTCTTTAATCAAATAAATTATTGTTAATGTCAAAAGAGAAGAGAATAAAAAAGAAAATGGGCAAACTCGTTTGTGATTCCCATGATATCTTTATATCGATTCTATTTCTTATTCAGAATAGCTATTTAGAGATTAGTTTTAACTTATTATTATTCATCATCGAATTTTGTTTATTCGATTATTAACCTATGACCCGAAAGTCTTAGCACAAAATATTAACTTATTTTTTCGATCGCTCAAAAAAACACCTGATTACAATCAGATTTTTTTCACCCTTCTCTGAACATATATTTTAGATTTTTCGTCTGCAAGTAACATTGCACAATAATCATCAAATTGTTTCAAATAATGCTTGAACAAATTTCTATTTTGGTCAATTTTATATTTTAATTGAAATCTATCAAATTCTCGATAAGAACCATTTTTATAATGACTCAGGTTTTTAGAACAATAGCAGTTTTTGAAAAAACGATTTGGATAAATACTAACTCTTTAGTGGAAACGCATAGACGAGATTTTGCTTATTGTAGCATCTCATTTTATACAGAATTCAATGCTCTACAATAATGTTGACTTGAAATTGTTCCAAGACATAAAACTAAAGATTGCGTCAAAATTGCTGTTTGGCTTTGCACAGACACAATTTTTGAATTTTTTTAGTGTCTTGCTCAGATTTTTTTCTTTAGGATGAGTGAATCCGATTTTTGGAGAGGTGCCGCCTTCTAAATTGGATACAATACTGTTTTTTTTTTTATTTCATAAAATCTACCTATAGTTTATTCAATCTTTCCTTAGAAGAGAAATCTGAATGCATATTCGGAAGACTTTCGTGCTATAGATTACTTAATCATATTTATATAAACCAAGATTTTTGTTTGTGTCTTCTTTTACCTGTAGATTTTAAATCTTTTTCAATACAATTAAAACAATTGATATCAAACGATGGAAGTTCTAATAAAAAATCTCGATTTGTACTTGTAGATCGATGACATCGATTACATTGAATAGTCATCATTGTTAATGAACTTTCTTTTGTCAAAATTATTTTTGATGATTTTTTATTTGAATTATTTGTTAAATGAAATTTTGCATGTAAAATAATTTCACGTTCATTTATTAATGATTGTTTACATACAATACATGCAATAGCTAATGGAATATTATCATTATTATTTGTAAATAATTTTGTTTTAGTTTTTAAATTATATTGTTGATTATGTTCATATAAATGATGTATATAATCATCTTGATTATTTAATGTTTGATGACAATATGAACAAATATTTGATGTTGTTGCTTTACAATGTGACAATTTATGTTCAGAAAGAATATCAATTGTTGAAAAAAGTCGATCACATATATTACATTTTAAATTATTGCCTGATGATGCTATATGAATACGAGAATGACGATCAAGTTGTGCACGAGATGTAAATAATGCATGACAGTAAGTACATTTGAATGATGGCGTTATTGATGATATTGATGATGATCGATGAGTATGTTTATTATGTTCTAATAAAAGTGATTCAGAAGAAAAGGTTAAATCACATAGAGAACATATGACGTCAGATGAAGATGGTGTAGCTAAAAGAAATCAAGTTTTTTTTTAGAATTATCTTTGATAAAATTCAAAGAAGAAAATAATACAATATAGAGTCTTCTCCGAGTTATGCTGATTATAATGTATGATCGAAAAGTATTGAAATTCATGTTTCTTTGACTTTACTAAACATGAAATACACACAACGAACCTATAAAAAAAAATATAGTGTCAACTTGTTTCCATTTTTTGATAAATTCTTCTTTTTTAATTGTAACTGAATCTCGGTCATGCGCATAATCACGAAACATTGAACAATAAATTTTCAATCATTTTGCTAATTAACTTATTAAGAAATAAATTTGACTTATGTGTTAAAACAAGTATTTGGTGTTATTTTATTTTCCTAAAATGACTCTGTCAATCCAAGCTGGACTATTATTGATAAATGTTCGGGTGAACATCTTTCATTGATTAAGACACATTATGTTCTAGATGTCAAATTCATCATCGTCATCATCATCATATTAAACATATGAAATAACACTCTTAGCTTCTTTTAGAACAAAATCAAATTTATGCTATAACAGATTAATTTACCAAATGTTCGACTTCTAGAACATTATTGTTCAATATTTCTTGATTAAATATATCATCGAGAACGAGAGTAGAAATATACAAGGTTACTCTACCCTGCAGGGTACGGTAAGAGTTAGAACATCTTTTTCAGTCACGATAAAAGGTTCATAGAAAAGGCTTACTCTCTAAGTTTTGTCCAGATTTGTTCTTTCGAAGGGCAGTTTAAATCTCCAGTAGAACTAATCCTACCTTTAAATAGGCGTCATGTCCTAGACAGAGCCCGTCGAGTCCATAATTCTCGGACCTAAACACAATCGAGTCCAGATCCAAGATCAATCCGATAGGTTCTACCCCTCGATCCATGCTAGATAAAACATTATTTACCATTCCTATCTCTAATTGACAGGCAATAAGAGAATTATAATTAAAAAAAAAAGAATTTATCAAAAACCGAACACAAGTTGATATTAATGTTTGTCGAAATCATAGAAAAAGGATATTTCGAGCAAAGCGAAGAACAATTAAAAATAAACAACCATATCTGATACTTTGATTTTGTAGTTTCATCGTATGTGTATTTCATGTAAAAACAAACTCAAATGCAAATCATTAGTAAAACAGAAGAAATATGAATTTCAATGTCGTTAAAATACTTTAATTGTCTTACATGATTTCTTTTCATTTTGTTGCCAATCTGATTTCATATCTTGTTGTTCATCATTATGTTCATGTAAAACATGTTGATTAAGATCAAATCTTGAATTAAATTTTTTCGAACAAAAACTACATGAAAATAATGTATTAAATGATGGACGATGATGATTTATATGTATATCAATATTATTATTTATTTTATGAATAAATTTTAAATGATCAATTAATTCATCAGTTGAATTTAATTGACATGAACATAATGAACATGGATATAAACATGATTTATGAATCGTTTCAATATGATGCAGAAAATCGGTACGATTTTTGTATGTTGCATTACATAATTTACATTTAAATGTTTCAACTACAAAACAAATAAATTCAATTATTTATTTTGAACATAAAAATTTTTACCAGTTTTAGATGGATGTATTCTTTCAATATGATTAAAAAATAATTCAATTGTTTCAAATATATCTTGACATTGAAGACATTTTATAATTTGTAAACAATGTTGTATTGAATAATGTTGTAAATAAATCGTCATAGAATCAAATGAACGTTTACATTTTTCACACCATATAATCTTTTCAATCAGTGCATATTCATTTAATAATGAATCATCATTTACATCTTGTTGTTGTTTTTTTGATGATGATATTTGAAATAAAGATATTTGATCAAGTTGTTTTTGAAATGGTGGATGTGTACAACGTATATGTGCAAAATAATTTTCACGATTATTAAATTTTGCATTACATAAATGACAATATGTATCTGATAATGATGGTGATAGAGATTCAGTTTTCGATTGATTTATAGTTGATTCTTTTTCAATATTTTGATTATGTTCATTTTGTATATGAAATCTTAAACTATCTTCACCTGTAAAAATAAATGTAAAAACAAATAAAAAATTCTTGTTTTTATTTTTTTAATTTAATTTTTCTTACCAAGACAAATTCGTGGACAATGTGGACAATGTTCAGTTTTATTTTCATCTTTAGTTATTTTATTATTATCAAATGATAAACGATGTTCTTCAAAATTACTTTTTGTATTATTTAAAGAAGATTTTAATTGAAAATCAATATTCATTGTTTTATCAATTGTTATTAAATTATTATGATTATGATTATGATTATTATGAGTACGAATATGTGCTTTAAGATGATCAGAACGTGCAAATGTACTTTCACATAATGTACATTTAAATTTACGTTCACCTGTATGTAATTTTGAATGACGATTTAAACTACGACGATGTTTAAATCCTTTACCTAATAATAAATTAAAAAGTTTTTTTTTTTTTTGTCATTAATAAAACATATTCTTTATTTGATTAAGCTACCCAGAATTCTCTGTAAGGGTTTATTCTCTAGATATTTATTAATTTTATTTTTGAAAAGAGCATGTCAAGATGTAGGGTATGACAGAGTTCGTTTTTTGGAATTAAGCTATGCTATTATCATGAAAAAGATTATTTTCATAATTAAAGCACAAATTTATGAGAGGTTTTTGAAATACAGGAGCTTTTTCCTTCACTTGAAAAGTAAGAGCTTAAAAATCAGAGTTATGTCATGTTCTGCATTTTGACATGTTCCTTCAAATAAGTATATAGGATGAAAGCACATAAAGAATTTTGGATTGGCAAATGAGCTATTTCTGTTAACCTTGTTTATTGAATATCTTCTCAAAAACATCATGATATAAGACTGAAAACTTTATCATAGTCTCTCCATTATAGTTCAAGGATATCCTGAAAATTTCAATAGGTTTTGAGTTGAAAAACTTTAAGGCTAAGCTCAATATCATTCCTAGACATTTAAAACTTCTTACCAAATCTCTAAGATCTCTTTGGTTTCTTTCGAAATAAAAAGAAACAAATTTTAATGAAAATCTATGAAAAAAATGAAATACAACTGAAAACTCTCTGGAAAATTTGTACGCTTGGATATAATCGAAGACCCGGGGCATCTATTGCGCAAAGGGGCTAACAATAGATAAAATCATAGAAATTGATATACCCTTATCTCATAAGAATATTATATTATGTTGGGAAAAAGAAAACAAACAAAACTTTCAACTGTTTCATGATCGATTGAATATCAAATGAACTGTGGAAATTAAATTGATTTCGAAAATTTGTTTTTTTTATTTTATGATAATATTATTATTCACTTCAAATATTAGCGTATCTATTCGTAATTCATACTTCCTTCGGCATTATTCTGTATCTACATATAAACTTTGTGTGTATCCAGATAACCTACCACAAAACGAACATCGAAATGGCATCAATTCAACATGAACCTAAGAAAAAGAAATTATAATAAAAGAAAAGAAAAGTCATTTTTATTTACTTGTTCATGTTTAAGTAAAAGAGCCATATTTGCAAATGATTTATTACAATACGAGCATTGATGTGGATAATCGTCATTTTGGTTTGTTCCATAAGGTATCTAATAACATAGAAAGATTTTTGCACGCGAAATAAAATAAATGAAGGAAAAAGAATTACTTTATCTATTTGATTAGCATATTCATCATATGATGAAGTTCGACTTTCATCGCTATTAGTTTCTTCTATATGATAAATGGAAAAAAACAATTGTTAACACATAATCAAAGATTAATTTAATGGTTGATTAAACAGATATTACCGGTGAGAAAAGTACATTGATAAAGACGATGTTGATTAAATAGTTCACTAGTTAGAAATGTTTCTTGACAACTATCACATTTAATTGATGAAGGTTTTTGTTCATCTTCAGTTGTTATTGTTGAATCAATACTATCTGATCGAATTGATTCTGTCGCTAGTTCTATGATTAAAATATTTTTTTTTACAAAAAAAGCGAAAAGAACTTTTTTTTAATTTCTATTTACTTTTAGCAATCGGTATAGCATTTTCATCTTCATCTTTCGATACTGAAAATAATAATGAATTAAATATATTGATTAAAAAAAATTAAAATAAAAAAATTTACCATCACGTTTTATAGCTCTTGGATTCGTCTGTTTACGACGTGACATAGTTTTTTGTCTTTATTCTAGAATAGGATACTGCAATCAACTTGATAAGTAAGACGAGTGCATCTCCTTGTTCTAATCATGCTCTCGGTGCATCTTTCTCCTTCTTTCCTCTCTCGTTTTGCCTTCCTATATGTATATGCGCACGCACTCGTCCATCATTCCCGGAGGGGTGCAGAACACAGCAGTTGTCGTCGATCTATACATTCTCTCTCTCTCTCTACCCACATGCTGTTTCACACACACATACACACATACACGTAAAAAGAGTCGACTAGCTCCCCTGGGATGCAGCCGCGGCAGGCAATACGACGTGAGCTCCCCGGTGACCAACCGACGACGTCAAACAGACAGCCATAGAGAGAAAAAGAGAAACAACTACTGGCAAAGCACTCTTCTTTCTCTTGTGAAATTCTCTCGAGATTTTCTTCGACAGAATTCTTTTAAATGAAAGAAAAGAAGAAAAAAAAATGGAGGGGAAAAAATAGAAAAGATTACAGACGTCTCTTTATCCATATAAATTGATAAAATAGAAAAAACAAAACAATATAAATTAGAATGAATGAATCTTTTTTCTTTTTCTTTTTTTTTTTGTTATTAGTAGTACAATGTTCCTTTTTATTTATAATTATGAAGAGACACAAAAATACATTGGAGACTTTTCTTTTATATGCTAGCAAAAAAAAAGAAGAAGAAGAAGAAAGGAGATGACACCTGTCTCTCGATGTTTTCTTCTTTCTCAGTCATATTCATTCTTTTCTTCTCCGTAGGGAATAGTGCTGTATAAGAGAGATACGAAGAAAAGAAATGAACGAAGAAAAAAAAGGAAAAAAGTCCCATGTTGATAACAGCCAAAGGATAGAAAAGCTAATTTCTTGAACTAATTGAAGAAGCTATTCTAAGAAACTTTAAAAAAAATGAAATAATTCGAGTTTTAAAATTATTAAATTTGAAAACCGTTTTAAACGGAAACTATCTTCTTGATTTTAGAAGAGTTTCACTCGATAAATAAATAACCAATCATTTAACGACGCCACTTTAGATTAATTATTGAGGATAGAAACCTAGAGCAACGGAATCCAATATGGTTATTATTTCGATAAAAATACATTAAGTCATTTTATTTTTTGTTTGTAAATCTCTACAACGAAAAAACTAAAAATGCCAAATTCAATGAGTGATTTAGCTGCTCGAATGAATCAACGAAAGCAGCGTCTTCAAGAAGAACAAGAAAATTTTGATCGAGTAAATTAAAACAAATTCTTTTTAGTAAAAATTTGAATATTCTATTGTATTTTCTTCAGAAACGTAATATTTACTCTCAAAATCCTGATGGAATTAGTGAAGTTTCTGAAATAGAATCAAGTCGGCAAGCTCCGAAACCTAAACAACGGCATCATCGCTCATCAACAAAAAGTCCATTTGATGATGATAGTTCATTACAATTCGGTTATAATGATAAAAAATCTCATTCAACAACAACAACTTCATCAAGTACACCACGTCAACCAAATAAATTTGTTAAAAAATCAACAGCAATACCCACTGCTACAACAGAAAAACTTAGTGTAACACATTCACCACGAGATATTTCATCACCTCGAGTATCAACAAAAAAAACTTCAGATAAAAAGCCTCAACAACCATCATCAACTGGTCTTCTTGCTCAATCATCACTTTTAGCTCGTGCTGCACATCGACAACAATTATATGCTAAAGGTATTGAATTAGAACCAGGTGCATTTGATCAAGCCAATGATGAAGATGAATCAAGTTCAGATGCAACAACAACAAGTGGTTCAAGAAATTTATTTCGCTCTGGAAAAAAAAATTTTCTAAAAAAAACTGCAACTACTACACCTGCTAATCAAGTACCAGATTTACAACATCTTGATAGTGAAACAAATAGCAGTGATCGAGAAGGAAAAAGAAATAAACATAACAAGAATAGACGACCATCTTCAGGTAATAAAGAAATCATAATTAATATATTTTGATACAAATTGTCAAATAAAAGTTGTTCATGATTAAACTTTTGTATAAATCGAACAGCTTTATTGGTCAAATGTTCTTTAATTTGATCTTTTTTTTTTCCACATTGTATTTGGTTTTTTGTTTAGTGCTCGATACGGAAGATGATTCATTATTAGATTTTGTTGGTGATGGTTCTTCGAGCGAAGGTCGAAAAACACCAACTTTAACACCAAGAAAAAGCATTTTAAAATCACCGAAAGTAAATGAAAATACAAGAAAGAGAAAAAAACAAACAACAACTTTTCTTCCTTTGTTTTTTTTATATCATTCTACTCATTCTGTATTTATTTAGGATTTTATTCCAAAAAAAGAAATTGAACATTCTGTGCAATTTTCTGAAAAACTAGTTACAGTTCAAAGTATATCCATAATCGAATAAAAAAAATAAACATGTCGAAATTAAATTTTTTTTTATTTCAATCTAGCTGATGAAGAAGAACGTACATCAACCCCAATAAAAACTTCACGTTCAACAACTCCACGACGTGTACAAATTGTTAAAAAACCTTCAAACGATGATGATGCTGATATAGTACCATCTGAAACAGAATCAATATCAACAGCTATTGATGTTATTGATGATGATTATAATAGTATTCCATTTAGTGAACATATTAGTGAATCACCAGTCGATAATATGTTTGCAAATTTAGTTTTGAATAATGAACCATTAATAGAATCTGTTATTAAAAAAAAATCTCCTCGAATAACAACAAAAAAACCGTTATCACCATCAAATAAAATTCATCATAAACAGCGAACAATATCAGATATTAGTGATGATGAAAGTACAAAAGTTGAAGACATTCCTGAAGAACAAACCGTAATTAATTATTCGGAAGATTTTTCATTAGTAACAACAGAAACTTCAACACCAAGACCATCAAAGCCTACAAATATTCATATAGAAAAACAAATACCGTAGGAAGAGAAAATCTTTCTATTTAGTTTAAAATATTGAAATTTGTGTATTTTAAATAGAACTATGAGAAAAGTTTCAACCGATGATCAACAAGTGCAAGTTGATTTAACATCAGCTCCGTTTCAATCATCGTTAAATCAAGGTTTTACCTTTCTTTTTTCTGTCTTTTATATTTAATCATTGATTAATATGTTATTTTAATAGTTCATTCAATTTATTTAATTAATCAAAATGATTTAAATGAAACTCGTCCATCATCACTTATTCGATCTGTTGTTGAACCACATATTCTTCAATCTCTTCTAACAACAAATCCTGTTCTATTAGCTGTTGATGATTTAATTCGAGAACAAAGTTCTCTATTACGATCATTTATTCAATTACAACGTACATATTATGAATCAACAATACGAAGTATACGACCTGAACATGTTTATGTTACTAAAGATAATACACTACAAGTAAATTAGTTTATTATTATTATTGTTTAGTTCGAAAGATACAAATATATTAAATTTTTTTTCTGCTTTTAAGCTCATTGCCGATCAACAACAATATCGAATGCCTTTCCAATCAAATGATGATTCAATTACTAATTGATGTTTTCTTTCTTTTATTATATATATATATTTTTTTTATTTTATAAAAACAAAATGTTACAGTGAATAAACACCAAATTTCTATTTAGACGAACAAAGAATAATTTTTAAAATTAATTTTTTTTTAAAAACTATTTAGATCTTATGTATCAATTATTTCTTGTGTTATTAATGTGTAATCGATGAATGCAAATAAAATCATAGAGACTTTTTACAATGAGACTTTTCAAATTACGAAAAATTCTATAAGTAAAAGCGCGAATTTAAGATCTTATCATTCGTCTGTAATTTATTTTATTTAAGTTGTATCGTAAATTGTACATAAAGTAATTGAGTTCTTGTTATTTCATCCGGATAATGATTGCATATATACAGTGAGCACGAAAATCATTTAACACGGTTTATTTTCAATTTTTTCCACTGTCGTCGACGCTAGAAAGAATCCAAATAGTGAAAAATTTGTTTCCAATAGAAATATAAGGAAGCAGAAATTATTATCAGGCTTCCAAAGACATGGACTCCAGAAAACCAATACTCTAGTTGTTTTTTGCATCTAGAACGCTAGAATAAACAGTTCTCTACAAAATAAGACGTCTCCGAGTTCTCTGTAATGTTTTTTTAGCTGAGATACAGCGCTCTTACAGCAGCTCCTAAAGTCTGTTTTTTGGCCTTTCATCAAATCGCTGTATGTTTTTTCCATAATGAAGAACTAGAAAACCCGTGTATCATTGTAGAAACTTATCTCGAAGTCGTGAACTAATGATTTCAACTGACAAATTATCCACTATATCATTATTGTGTTTAAAATTTTTTTGTCTTACTACCAAACGTTGTATTCATACGTTAGATTATTCTGCTCGGTCGGAATTCATCATGATAAAATGTCAACAGAAAGGTAGGTGTCTTATTGTGCAAATATAGATAAATAACTACAACTAATAACTACCAGACAATTTTCTCACTAAATCTAATGACTAGATCAACAGAAAGCTACTCACATAATTATCTATCGTTCTAATGACACTGATGTTGACAAAAACAATTTACAAACGACAATCATTAAGCTATTTATGAGTTTTAGCAAGTAAAATTGAAAAGCAAGTGAATAACGTCCATTAGATGTCATATATCTGATATACGTAATTTTATTGGCAATACTTTTGATGCATCTTTTTTAGTGATTTATCAAATGTATCAATAATAAAATAGATTAATACGTTTTACAGAGAAATACGTCGAACAAATTGATCTCATCAGCAGATGTAATCGAATACCTATCATTTACCTCAGATTGGTTACCCCAAATCAATCCACAAATCAAATCCTCAATTAGAGTAATCAAACAAATAATGGCAAAACTGGTGACCAATTGGGTTTTTGATTTAGGGATTTTTTGACATGAAATATATCATACATTCCGTAGTTCAATACTATTTCGTTTTCTCATTCCAGACCGTATTAGGAAAAATATAACTTTCGAAGTCATATCTGTTGGAGGTATTTAGTTTGGATTCGCTAAATATAATAAAAACAGTTTTACAATAAATCTGGTGACCAAAATGTATTGTTGGCTACTGAAAATTCTTTTTTTAGCAACCCAAAACACATTCTGGTCACCAGATTCATCGTAAAACTGTTTTTATTATAATTAGCGAAATCAAACTAAATACTTCCAACAGATATGACTTCGACAGTTTTATTTTTCCTAATACGGTCTGGAATAAGAAAAAGAATGGTATTGAACTACAGAATGTATGATATATTTCGTGTCAAAAAATCCCCAAATGAAAATTTGATTTGGGGGTTGATTTGGGGTAACCAATTTGGGGTAAATGATAACCTACCGATTTAATCACGCCACTGGATGAATATCCAACTATTAACTCTCACATATGCAGTTTCAGATCTTTCTGTCAGTTGCGTCATTTCGAATCTCACACATGTGCATAATTATATCACAACTTCGCAATTTATTTCTTATCATTTATTACCCAATAATGTTGTTTTATTATAGAAAACAAGCATTGTCATCAATAGTCTTCTTATCTTACGCGAGGAACATTGTATTGATGATGTATATATAAAGAGCCCTGTTTAGCTTTTTTCTCTCAATTGTTTTTATGTCTTTGTGAATGTTAGTTTCGAAACGTATTACAAAACCCATTCGTAAAACTTGGAAAAATGTAAGTTTAGATGTTTATTTTTTCTCATTGTGAAAAGAAAAAGAAAATTTTATATTATTTTAGCAACCAGCATCATCACTTGGCAAAGCTGTTCTTAAAGATTGATTTACATATTTTATTTTAAATAGTTCTTTGCTTGCTTGTAAACCAGCTTTTTTTGTGTCTTGCTTCCAATTCTGCATTCATTACCGACTTTACTACAAAATTATGTCTGAAACCGGTTCATTTTCACAGTAAGACGAAATTTATGTTATGCATGAACTAAATATGACTTGTTTATATTTGCATAGATCCGTCCGTACAATTAGTGTTGGTTCCGAAACTTCTTCTACGAATGAAATATTATCAGTGTCCACATCACCTCCATCATCATCATTCTTTGCTAGTTGGGGAGTCCAATATAAAACAATTCGTGACCCTAAATCGAAAGGTATTTGGGATGGATATGAAACGCAAGAAGATTTTATGGCGATGCATATTCGTTAAATAATGATGAAACATTCACCTCCTATGTCAAATAATGAAGAACTCCACTTTTTCTTTTATGTTGTTCATTTTTATTGCTTTTATTTTTTCATTTAGTTTTGCTCGTTTGTTTCGCATTTTTTCTCTCTTTCATTTAAGCAAATGAAAAAAAGCACTATTTTAATTATAAAATGATTTAACTTATCAATACGTACAAGGACCCATTAGAAATCAAAAGAATGAGCATTTTGAAATGTTCTGTTATTCTGTTTGAACTAAGCAATTGATAGAGATTCTCGACAAATGACTAAATTCGATCGTCCAAAACTAATCGTTCACATATGAAAGAAAAACTTTATGATATCTATATCGAACCTTCTAGAAATTATATATAAATATCAAGTATAGTTGCTTTTAGGGTTGTAGTTTGAGTGAAATTGTACTGCATATTCCTCTACAACGAACCCCTTTAGTCAATACAATAAAAATTTCAATCAAATGATATATGACATCAACAAAAATTTTAAATGATATCATTAAATAATAAACGGCCAGGTGACTGATATCAAGTAGAAAGTTTTACGCGTTCTGCATACACAAAAACAGGGTTAAATTCCAAATTTTTCAAAATATAGATATATTAAATAATAAAGACAATAATATGCATATAATTCAATGAACAATTATGTCGTGTTCAACATGAATGGTTATTTCCTACAAACAATCAGTTATCATAAATATCGCCATCAAAATAACAATATGAAAAATTGTATCATAATTAACTTAATGATTTATCTAATCATTAAATTAAAAAAAGGGGAAAATCTTATGCATATATATCGAAAGATTATTTTTATAATTAGTATAAGAATTGGATTACTTTGGATAAAAAAAAAACTAACGCGCAATTAAACATAACGGTGATCATGTCCTTTGATATTGTCATATCACGAGTGGACTGCATGATAATACAACACATTATGAGAAATGCACGCATATTGACATAACCTGTGTTCTTATCTATCCTCTTTGACGTTTTCATTTAATTTCGAGTTGATTCGTACTTGATTCTGTATATATATATATGAGGACAAACACTTAGTATTTTCATTTCATTTATCATTTACCAAAGCGCTTCTGTTATTATAAACAACACCTACCTGTATACATTCTTCTTTTTTGTTGGTAAGATCTATTTAAAAAAATTTCGCATACATTTTATTAATTATATATTCATTTAGTGTTTAATGTTTGAATGTTGACTTCGAAACACTTAGCTAAACCTGTTCGTAAAACTTGGAAAAATGTGAGTAATTATATAGTTTTATTCTATTGTTTTCCAATTATTTTTATCTTCTATTATAGCAACCTGCCTCATCACTTGGTAAAGCCGTACTCAAAGATTGACTTATATTCTTTTCTTAACCTTCGTATTCATTTCGTCTGTTTATTGTTGTTTTCAACTTTTTAACGGTAACCTTCATCGATTTTATTTTTAATTTTCCTTTCAATTAATAATCAAACCATTATAATGGCTGAAACTACTTCTACTTTCAAGTAAAATAGACCCTTCTTCATCGAATAACTATTAATGCGTATGTGTCTTTATTTAGATCTATCAATTCATATAACATGCCGTCAACAAATTCTGAAGTAAATGATTCATTATCATTAGCATCAGCGTCACCACGTTCATTATCACCTTTTAATGGATGGACAATTAAATATCAAACATTGCCGAAAAAAACTGATTCGAAAGGTGTTTGGGATGGATATCAAACAAAAGAAGAATTTATAATGATGCATATTCGTTAAAAAAAAACTATGATGCAATTTTTTATTTATTCATGCAGCAGTAGAATGAACTATATTTTTCTTTTTTCTTTGATTGATTAAAAGGAACTATGTTCGATTGACTTTTATTTATTCTCTTTTATTACGTAGAAATAAAATTGATAAAAAACAAACAGATAAAATTTTATCTTAAACTAAATAAAAAATCAACATCGACAGTGATTTAAAGTCATGCGAAACAGTGACACTGAAGAACTGGTCCTCTGTCTCAATCTAAAATGTTTAGTTTTTTCGTTTTGTTTTGGTATATATACGCTTCGAAGTATCCTCAATCAACTAGACATATTTCCAGAACTACTCAATATATAAGTATAATAGTCGAAAGCTGGAAAAGACGAAATTTTTTTGCTGTATTTGAAAAATGAGTTTTGTAACAAAAAATAGATGAGAACCGCCATTGTTTTTCAACCAGAGTTGAATCGACTGTGCTGAAAATTTTCTTTACTTATACTACTATCCATTTCAAAATATAATGTGCCATACTGCTTTTTATTGAATAAATTTTGATAGGAATATTTTAGAAATCTGCGATTTTCACCATTTAAATAAGAGAGAAGACTCAATACCATCGAAGAATATCGATCTGACACTTCCAATTTTCGCCCATTGACCCGTGATCACTCTATAAAGCAACTAGACAGAGACAATTCACCGTACTAGATCGAATGGTGATATTTGTTTTAGTTTCAAAACTGATCTGAAACTATTATCTTAGCCAATCTTGCGTAGATTGAAAGAGAAGAAATTTTTCATCGATTAGCCTTACTGAAAATCTGTATTGAGAAAGAAATAACTTCAGAATGTCGTTCTCGAAAATCTCATCTGACTAGTCAATTGCTGATCAGTCATTTTCAATATGACTCGATGATCCTGGGTCTTCTCTCTTGAATATTGAAAACCGCAGACCTCTATGATGTTCCTATGAAAAGTTAATTAACCCATTGAACCCGATTTGATTCTACGGGGTAGAAAATAATATTTTTCCAGAGGGTACAGCTTCAAATACAAATCATATCAACATTGAAATTTATTCCAAACGAAACCTCATCGAAAACAGGATTTAGCAGTATAACTAGCAATTCATAGAATGACTATGTGCTAAAGAATTACTAAAAGTTCCCAAATTTTCAGACATAATTGAGTATTTTCATGGGTAGTCAACCACGAAAAACAAATAGATCTCAGGAAATGTTTCGTCTATCGGACTTTGTAGAGCTCTCTTTGTCGATCATTTTAATAAAAAAGGTTTTTTAAATTTGATAAATAAATGACGGTGCTAGGGTCAAAATACTGACAAAAAATCATAGCTCTAGCAGACAGAGCTGTCTCATTGTTTCAGTATTTCTACCCTATCACCGTCATTTATTTATCAAATTTAAGAAATCTTTCTATCAAAATGATCGGCAAAGAGAGTTCTACAAAGTCTGACAGACGAAAAAATTTTCTGAGAACCTTTTATTTTCATAGCCGACTAACCACTGTACAAATATAGTGAGACCCACCGGTGGGTCTCATCGGGTTGAATGGGTTAAAAAACAATAGAATGCATTTTATTTTGAAATGGATAGTAGACAGTGTTTAGGGTTTCTACTCGTTTCTTGCTTTAAAATATAAAGTACCACTGATTTTTGTCAGAGTTCATAAAAAAACTGCAGTTAGAAAACTAAAAAAAAAAACCTTCAATTTTTGAAGATACATTTAATAGAAAGAAAAAAATAGTGTCATAAAGGACTTGAAAAGGGTTTCAAATTAATTGCAATTCTTATTTGAATAGAAGAAGACAAAGGTAGGTACTCTAAACAATGTTTACTATCTGTAATAAAAATCTCAACTCTATCAGAAATATTGTAGCTGAGAAAGTGGGTTGACTTTTAGTTTTTGTTACTGCGATATTTTCAAAAAGGAAGCATTTTGGAATTTAGAAGCTATGATAAATTTTATTCTATTATTGGGACCTATCTGCTTTGACAGTATCAAAATATTCGGATAAGTCATTCTCCAAAAACTGGTCAAAAGGCTGGAATTCCCTTCAGACATTGCATACTAAAATTGACTAATCATGTATGTGTATGAAATAAATCGTGTCGACTCTTTGAGTTATGCACCTTCATAGGTAGAGTGTTCTAAATACTTGAAACAGTCTCTTTCTACTTTGAAAAATGCTTTATTGATGACAGCACCGTCGATTGTGTTTGCTAACATGTTTGGTAAATATATAAAATTTCGTAGCAAAAACAAATAATGGCAGGCAATATCTGATACCTGCTGCTATGATTAACAAATGATTGCAACGTTATCAACAGCTATTTAAAACTTCTAAAGAATATTTTTTGTTTTGTATTTCCGTAAATATATATATATATATTAGAAAAGAAATTAAGAAAATCTTTTATCAATTAATCGCATTCTATACTATTGAAACAAAAAAGAATCTATGTTAATTCTTACGTTCTTATTTAAAAAAAAAGAAATATATATATATATGTTCTAATGTATTCTTGAACAAATCAAGTACCATTTTATGAATAGTCATAAAAATGATTCATCATATCATACATACATATATAAATTCTTTCAATTGGGTCAGTGGTTTTCTCTGATGTCAATACTTATTCATACCCGCCCTCTCATCATTTGCTTCCACTACTTCAAACTTCACCAATTTATTCGTTCGTTCTCACTCCATTACACTGTAGTTATAAAAAAAAATTGCTATAGAATTTCTCTTTCATTCATTTTGTTTCATCGCTTTCGGTGTATATCGTAAACGATACTTTTACATTTTCTTGATCAGCAATGGTGTCGTATTCGTCTATAAGTATCCTACTATTACTATTCGTAATCAATGTTGATAGTCGAGAATTTTCTCACAGATATCGACTTCGCAAACTATGGAATATTATAACAGACAAATTTAAAGAGGCAGCAACTAAAAAATTTCACATTGATATACGTCATTTTGATAAAGAAGAAATGCTTCTTTTTCCTGATATAGGATATCAATCGTCGAATAATGATAGTGTATGGAAACTAGTGATGCATGGTTGGCGATATGAAGGTAACAAACGAAGAGATTGGTTTGGATTTAGTGCAAGTCTATGGGTAGAACGAATTGCTAAACAATACTTGGATGAAAAAGATATGTTATATCTTAATGGGTCAATTAATCGTGATCGACTTAAACCATTTTTTGTTGAAGATGAATCAAATGAAAAAATACAAATTAAGTTGGGCGAAACAATATTTTCATTTGTAACAGACCAACAAGGACAATTTAATGAAGAAATTGAAATAACAAATGATGAAATACAAAAATTAAAACGACAACAACAACAAGGTGATAGTTTTATAACATATGAAGCTATTGGTGATAATAAAGATATAACAAAAGGAATTATTCAATTAATTGAACCACGTAAAGGTATATCTGTTATTAGTGATGTTGATGATACAATTAAAATATCAGAAGTATTGGATAAAGTACGATTACTTGCAAATACTTTCATACATCCATTCAAACCTGTACCAGGTAAACATAATCAATATAATAATGTCATTTTTCTTTTTGTCGTTCTCTTAGGCATGGCTGAATTATATCGAAAATGGCGTATAAGCAATAATAATTGTACGTTTCATTATTTATCCGGTATGCCCGATCAATTATATACATTAACCCACGAATTTATTTATGACAATAATTTTCCTGATGGAACATTTCATATGAGACATTTTGGTTGGGCAGCAACATCTATTTTTGGTTTTCTTCATTCACAATCGACATTTATTCATAAAATGACTTACTTACGATATTTTCTTTCAAATACAATTCGTGATTATATATTAGTTGGTGACAGTGGAGAAAAAGATCCAGAAATTTATGGAACAATTGCAAAAGAATATCCTGAACGTGTACGAGCTATTTTTATTCGAGCAATTAAAGACGAAAGTTTTGAAGATCAACGTTTCCTTACTGCTTTCGAAGGAGTAGCACGAGAGAAATGGCAAATATTCAATGATCCACAACAATTACCTATCGACTTATCACGACCACCAAAAGCAGCGACCGGTTAGAATAGAAGAATTTTGCGAAAAAAAAATTATTCAAATAGAAATTATCTTATAAATATTGTCTTATTTATTTGATTGATTCACACGAATTCAACTCATTAGAAATTAATGGCGTGCCAAGTTAAGACTATCCTTATTAAATAGTTATTTATTTAAAAATCTTGTTTTGTATTCTGAAATAACAATCTTATCTATCAATTCATCTAAATTTAAAATTTTTTCACATCTTATTTGTTCATTCAAGAGCAATGAAAAGATCTAAACTTCTAAACACGATTCCAAGAACGTACAAATTTCTTCATGTGATTTGTTTTTCCACAATGACTCGTTATTGAGTAATAATTAGTTCAATACGCAAAACTTGGTCGGCTTTTTTTTTCTGCTAGATATCTGCTCTGTCTATACACATGTCACATTGATTAACATTTGGCGCAAAATACTATGTGTTCAGACAGAAACAATCTCGTGCCTCAATAATTTACGAGAAAACTTGCTTATTATAATCCTCAACGAAGGTAAATACGATCTCCTGATCAAGAAACAGTCGCAAGGACGAAAACATGTGCTGAATTAAGAGTTTTCTTGTTCGGCATCGGAGCGACATTTTCAAATAAACTAATGAAATACAATTAACTATCCATTATCATATTAATAGCGAAAGTATATACGGCATATTAATTCCATCCTGTCACATAACTAGCAGGAGAAATATTAGAGAAAAAAAACCAAGAGAAACATGTACGTGGAAAAATGTTAGTTTTTCATAGGACTGCAAGAAATTGTTAAGTATAATAATTATTTATCGATTAATTCTCATGTTCAAGCTTGTAGGTTTCAGTAAACAGAATATATTCTTCATGCTAGCATTGTGAATGTACATTTTGTTGATGATTGATGACACCTTATATACCGTTAATTTAGAAAATAATAGCAAGTGAATTCATTAGATAAAAACATATGATTATTTTTGTCTTTGCTACAGGATAGATTTTGTGTTATCTCTTTTGATGAAAATCTGTTTCTGACAGTGTCTTTGTATATATTTAATGACAGTCAATACTGACATTTATTCATCATGTCAATCAAATAGACTCTTTGACGAGTTGTTAATTAACTGTTCAAAGAAAAACTATCGAGAAAGAGGTATATTCCGTTCATTATTGCTTACTCTTCATACACTATGAAACCAGTTTCGCTATTAATGAATAAAAAGAAAATAATCGTTATCAGTATAGATTAAAAAAAATAAACACAGTATTTATAATATGCCTTTCACCTTTTCGCTCTTACATATAATACATTCAATATTTGACAAAATGTACTTTGTACTCAAGAAAATGATTATGTCATTCATTTAAAAAAAAAAGATCTATCTATATTAATCTATTATCTAGAATGTGAAGTTTATACACTTTAGATTAATAAAATATAAAAAAAAAGAATAAATATTGCTGAATGTAACATGTGAAACGCTTACATATGTCCTTTCGCTTCAAGATATAACGACTGATATGAAAGATAGCTGGATGCATGTGCGTCACTGTTTCTTTTTGTTGTGTGTCTACCAAATAAGAGGAAGATGAAGATATATTATACACATCATTCTTTTATGGCCTGGGTACATCTTTAGATCGAATTAATAACAAAGAAAAATGGAAAGAGAATCAGTCGCTGTCTTATATGAATCATTTTAATAGAAAGATTGAAAAGGTCGGAAAGAAAAAGAATATTTCTTTTTACTAAATTACACGAAAAAACGATAGAGAAGAATGAAGATATTTCAACTAGTAAGAGATACAAGTGGTATTGTTCATCGATTAGTTGTTGATTTTGAACTTATTTTTTTCAATGAACAAAAATATTCTTCAATTCAACGTTTGATTTATAATTGGTGGTGGTTAAGTTTACCTTATGCATTCATTTATATCATTACTATATTTATTGGTCAAGCATGGATGATCAGGAAAAATAAAAAATTTGAATTACGACAAGCATTAATACTGTGGAATATTATTCTTACAATATTTAGTTTTTGGGGTGCATGTCGATGTATACCTGAATTTATATATGTATTAACTCAACATGGATTTATGTATTCAATATGTGATTCAGCATATAAACAAGGTATTACTGGTTTATGGTAAGTTTTGTTAATTTTAAGTTTTATTTAAAAAAAATAAGTATAATTTATAAATGTTAGGGTTTGTTTATTTATGGCTTCGAAAGTACCGGAAACATTAGATACATTATTTATTATATTACGACGACAACAATTGATTTTTCTTCATTGGTATCATCATGCTTCAGTACTTGTATATTGCTTTTATAGGTAATTCATTTTTTTAGGGACTTTTTTTGTCTCTTCAATAATTATATATTATAAATTAAGTTATGCATTTTTCGCTTCAACGGGTCGTTGGTTTGTATCAATGAATTATTGTGTTCATACAATCATGTATGGCTATTTTGCATTACGAGCTGCTCGTGTTCGACTTCCTCGATTTGTTCAAGCATTTGTAACGTTTCTTCAAATTATTCAAATGATTGTTGGTTGCATAGTAAATGTAGCTGCATTTAATTATAAACAAGAAGGATATTCATGTGATACTACGAATACAAATATTATATTATCATTAGTACTCTATATTTCTTACTTCATTCTTTTTGCACATTTCTTTGGTATGGCCTATTTGCGTAAAGATTCAAAGAGAAAAGTCAAGGATAGAATTGATTAGTTTGTATTTTTGTTTACACCTACTGTTATTTTGATTTCTTTGTTTTGCTTTACTATAATATAAAACAAATGAACTTTTCACTTATTTGTTATCATTTGGCAATGTTTTGTTAATTCGAAGAAAATAAACCCAAGAATACAGAACGAGATTGTTCAGTTGTTCATTGCATTTTCAATGTTAAAGATTTTTAGACTGATAGAATTATTGAATATATTGAATGAAAGAAAAATGCTAAATAAATCGTTTTACTTCTGTAATCATAACAGGTTATGAAAAAAATCATTTTTACCATGGTACTATATTAAAAACAGAATAGATACGATAAGAAACATTAACGATTTAAATGAAATCGAAACTATTATCAAGTTCTATACCACATCTAGTTTTCTTTTCAATGTATAATTTATCTCCACATCTTATTCAGATCCAACTCGTAATCACTGCTTACACTATAAACAGTGCTTTATCGAGATTTTCTATTACGAAAGGACGAATGTCCACTTTTGAAAGCACAAACATATAGCACATGGTATAAATAACTATAAACTCCGGAGGGCAAATCCTACTTTTCAGAAGTGCCAATCTCTCGGTCGTCATGCTGGATAAAACATTTTAATACTAACATGAAAGTAATTATATAAGTCTCATCACAACGAATTGCAAGTGCATTCGACATGGTAAAAGTCAAAAAGTATCTTCAAGTTTCCATTACAATATCTGCAAAATCTTAGACGGATGTTAATTTTCATGTATTCATGGTATCTATTATAGTCAATAGAAATATGCGAGCGTTTCCCAAATTCTTACATAGACTAGTGTGACAAGTGTAATCGATTGAGAATTCAAACGATTTTAATCGATTCTCTTGCTTTCAAAAATACAGATTTGCACGGGTGAAACATTGAGTATATTTCCACTCACGAAAAAAACAAAATAAATAGCCAAAACCAATCGATCGGTCCCATATCTGACTTGACCAGCATTTTATGTCTTTGTAAGAATGAAAAATAACGAAGAACTTTTGGTTCGAACAATATCGAACTTATCTTTCAAATAATAATTAAATACTTCAATATTCCTATGAGAAAACAATATAATCTTACTTGGTCTATTTTGTCCAGAATGTCTCTCTTTTTCTTGCTGTTTGCTGCTTATTCATAAGTATGCAACTAACAATTGAATTGATTTCAGCTCCTCGATATACTTTGGAAATAATCATAAAATGCACTAATAATTAGTAAAGCCATTAGAGTACTGCATGACAGCTCCGAATCCCGAAAAATCCCGTTTGTCCCGTCCCGCGGGACAATCGGGATTGTCCCGAAAATTTTTTTGGGACGAGACAAACGGGATCGGCACAATACAAAAAAAATCTATGTCCCGAATTCTTTTATCCATATATGAAAACTAGAGTGCTGCACGGGTGCACTTTTTTCCACCCGAAACCGAACCGGAGCTTTTTTTCCGTACCCGAGTCCGNCCTATTATAACTCCGTTCTAGCTCGCGCAATTATGACGGAGCTGGTGCCTAAGATCAGCATTCATCATAGAGTATATACATACAAAATTTCAGCTGTCTAACTCTTATTATGAGTGAAGTTCAGGGGGGCGTGAGGGACTTTTGACCAGCACTGTATTTATTGTTTTGATCAATTCATCAAAGCATCTCAATGTGATATTGATGTAATTGATATCAGAGATAAGCATAGAATAGGACAATCAGAGTCCTTATTTTGACATTTGGTCACCAAAATTACATATTAGTTATCTTACAGCCAAATTCTTTCGTGTCATTTTTAACTACGACAATTAAAATTTCCAATGATGACTAATATTATCAATACAAGAAAATGTAGAAACACCTTGATTTATTATTTTAATGGCACATTCATCACAGGAAATAAATACAAAAAAATATTTATCTGTGAGGTTTTTATCACCGTCATGATCTTAACATATAGCAAATACTATTAATAAAAAAAAATAAATGAAAAAAGTACTTGCTAAATAAATGATACAAAGAAAAAAAAATGTATGTCACAGATCAAATTAAACTTAAAGGGAAAATTGAACTTAAGCAGAATTCTCTTTTTTTAGTTTGACGCAAACTATACAAGTAATTTTCTTTTATTTAATAAATTTCAATTTTCGTTTGCACTAAGAAACCATTACACGTACTGGCTTTTTTTTTTTTTACTAGACAGAGTATTTTCAGTTGTTCATGCTGTGATGTAAGCATCAATAACTTTCACTGCATTGACATCAAGAAATAGTTTTCGAAAGTATTTTTATGAACAAGCGCAGCACCTCTTCGAATATTTGGAATATTAAAATCGTAAGAGAAGGTAGCTAATATTCTACCACAAGGGCAGCATGAGCTAAAAGAAAAACCTTTCAGTATTTTGGGTGGGAAAATATTTCGAAGAAACTTAAAAGTATTATATATTTTTGCTTTACATATCATCTATGAACCACGTAAAATTCGAAGACAAATAAGCAGCGATAAAAAAAATACTACTCAAAAAGTCATAAACTCAAAGACTTTTCCTTTTTTCTGGTCAAAACTTGTTAAGACAAATTAAACTTCAATAGAAAAAAGAGATGAATTCTACAACTCCCTAAATTTAAAGAGCCTTAAATTAAAGCAGAACAGAACTTAATATAGATATATATAAGATAAGTTCTTTATTCTCATCTTTTTCGATGTTTTTAATTTTGAAATCTTTTAAAAACTATGCTTATCATTTCCTAGATCTTAAATTTGCTTGACACATATACAAAACAAGAAAAAAAAGAACAAATATTTTTATAAAAGCACTGTATTCTTTCCGTTGATTGAATTAATAAAATGTTATCCAACTGATTAAATTAGTTCTTCGCGCTTAGATAATCACACCAGCCTCCAACAATCGTCTTTCTACCAGAAGTGAACACAGGGTAACTTTTTTTATGCTGCCTGTCCTATCATGTGCTCATCTCTAATTGCATATATCATTCAGTTAATCCAAATGATTTATTACTAATTTATAGTGTTCACGTTCGTTCGCTGTAGAACATATTCACTAACTTCTTTCTGTGTAATGAAAATCATGTTTTACATTCAATAAAGAATCTGCAAAGCTTAACATGAACAAAAAATTTATAGATATTATTCCCAAAATTTCTAGAATTTTTGAAATTTATAACATTTAGCAAAAATTTGTATTAAGACTTTATTTAACACATTTGAGGCGATTCGCCTATTGGTAGACCACACTATATAGTGTGGGTAAAAGTATTATTCAAGGGAGTATCACTATCATTTCAAATAGCTATTACAACTAATTTTATATCAGTTCAAAGCGCGATAAATGGAGTTTCATTTGGTATAAAATTAGTTGTGTTAGCTATTTGAAATAATAGTGTTACTCCCTGGAATGATATTTTTACCAATCCTGTGTAGCGTGGCCCACCGGTGAGCCACATCGCCTCGAATGTTTTAATTACGATAAAAACTTTTATAAGTATGAACCATGTGCACTCTCATCATTAAATAATTTTACTTTATTCTCTTCATTATGTATATCGAATTTGAAAATATTAACAATATATGTACAACAGTTACGCTATTGATTTAGGCTAATATATAAATGACATCAATTGTAACAAGTAGATCTTTCTATATCGAATTCAAATATGTCTGAGATCGTAGTTACCAAATTGCGAACAATTCTATTGATAGGTTATTGAAATATTTGATTCTGAGTTCTATTCTATTAATAATATTAACATATAATTGTGAGAACAAACGGTTATACTGCATTTTGATATAGGGATGTGGATTAATCGAGTAAAATCATCAACAGAATTTATTATGTGTTGCTATCAACAAGAACAAGATAAAGAAAAAAAGACAAATATGTACAAGATGATAACAAAATTATGTTACTAAAAAAACTAATTATATATTCAAGATAAAGAATTTGATGCTTATAAAAAATTTTTAAGAACTGTCTTTCAACGTTATATCAACATTATAAAAGATACCAAAGATTGTAGTGATGAAGGATAAATTTCTTTTATTATTTATGTATTTGTTTTGTCAATATAATTTGTTTTCAATTGAAACTGTTGATTACTTGGTGACAAAAAAAATTTTTGCAAAAGGAAAAATGCATTCAAAATGAAGTCAACGCAAATTTCTGCATTCCGAATTGTGAACATTTTTTGTGCTAATTGGCTTAATTTTTGTTCCCTATTAGGGCATAATTGTCTGAGATTACAGGTAGTTTTATTATTCTAATTAAATTATTGAAATTACAGGTAGAATTTAAAAGTCTTGACTTACTACTTCCTTTGAAAGAATGCAAAGCTTTTTGGCAAAGTTTCAACGCTATATAATTACATTCACTTATATTGATTTTAACAAATAGTGAACAAGAAGTTATTGATTTGAATCAAGTACAATTATTTAAAAAAAAACAGCTTTTCATATTTAATATCGTGTGAATCTATGATTCGCGTGAAACATTGTTCATCAAGCAATTTTTATTGTATTAGAAAAAAATGGCTAATAACACTTACTGAATTTTTCAATAGAAATATTGATCTCCATAAAAATAATCTTTCAAATAGATATATTTTTAAATAATTTAATGACAGTGATCAGAGGCAGTTATGTTAAGATGAAGATTGCCGTTACTTTTCAAGAAAAGTCTATGAAATACTTTCTAATTTCAAAACGAGAAAGCTTTCAATTCCTATAACAAGACTCTGTTAAGATCTTCTCTTTCGTTTATATCGCGATTATTTCTAGCACTTCTAATAAAATTAAAAAAAAAGAAAAAAATCTATTCAATTGAATTAAAACACATATTTAGATATGACTGGATTTGAAATAACATGTTTGTCAAAAATGTTGATTTAGAAAGAACAATGCGACAAACATAACTAAATATTCAATTTTTTACTCTATTCAATAGGATACAAAAATAACGAGACAAATCTTTGCAATATAATATAAAAATGTACTCTTTGTTGTTTACTGAAACATGAAGATAATCATAGAATATAACTCATTTTTTTCAGCATAAGGTAAGCACAAAAATTCTGAATGCTGTATAACAGTTACAATTACTATTTCATTGATCAATATCAATTTCTTTTCGATATTCAAATTTAAAACACTTAATCTATTCGGTTTATCTAATTTACTGTTCGTTTCTCATTTTTCAATTTTAATGGTTTTTGTTTTTCTCGAAAAAATACAATTTCCGCTGTCGAGGATATACTGTTCGTTGATTACATAACAAATACATTCCAATTAGCGTTTGTCTGGTGTAAGAATTTACTTTCCGGTAATTATTTGGGAGAAGAGAAATGACCAAATGAATAGTGCGCGTATGAATCTTCACTTCAACGACATTCAGATTCAAATCCAGACCCAGATCCACATGTTTATACACAAGAAAGATTTTCATCTAGATAATTTTTAATACATAGATTGAAAGAAACTTGATAATTAATCTAGATGTAGAATAGGAAATTCGATATAAGAGAATAAAGACACTGACATACGATGAAAAGAGTTTAATTTCTGTTTTTTTCATGTGTATTTTCTCTTTCATTCTCTTTTCAATTTCTACTTTGTATGATTTGTCAACAAATTGTCAAATAATGACATTAAGTAATTTACTCATTTCGATTGTAATACGGATTCATTTTTTTTTACATTATTTTTCCATTGATCAAGGCGTAGGAAGGAACTCATTACAGAACCTATTCTTTATTCATGGTACTTAATGTTTTTTTCTTCAATAAACGAAAAATACGAATTGATAGTCACGTTCTACTAAATCAAAGTTAATATCATATTATAGATGATCGTTCTTTTCAATATTGAATCTATTATTTTTGCTTTGCTTTAGTACAGATGAAAAGGTAAAATCACTTCGTTCATGTTCGCATTAGAAAAATATTATTTTTACATCAAATTGAAAGGTTTAAAAAGATTTTTTAATTTTCTATATAAATAGATAATTTCTTTCTAAAAGTAAAGGTACTGTATTTTTTCAGAAAATGACATATTAATTAACAGAAGAATGATGATTATTCGATTTTACTTTATTTATTTATTAAATATTGGTATTTATTTAATAATTGTGAATTCCTATGATAATGTTAAAATATTCAATGATGAAAATAATACGGATATGTTAGATGAAAGTTTTATTACATTACATAGAGTTACACATGATAATGTATCGAATCCGATATTTATCAATGACCCATCAATATTTCTGACAAGTAAGTGTTTTTTTTTCTATTGGTTGATTATTACTATGTCAAACTCGAATTGATTTGACGAAATACTTAAAATCTTAATAATCAAAAGATGATTAATTTTATACACATATATCGAGTCGTTTAATCAAAGACTTTTTCTCTAGGTTTGTTATTATTCTTGTATAGTTAGCAAGCGTCTGTTCTTTTTTTTGATTTTTGAAAAATATCTTAAAGTTGTCAGTCAAGAATTTACAAAACAACACAAACCATATATTGTAATCTTCAAAGCTCCAGCGTATGTTGATTTCATGGTAAAAGTTTATCAAGTATTCTAACTGAGGGATCTTATCCATATGATAATATTAAATAAATAAATCTTCCATTAACTTTTTACTTTATATGTGCTTGTTTCTCTCATTGTAGGTATATTACCACCAACAACAACTCCAATGTCAAAGACAATGATGACTACAGAACCAACTGTACTTCCAATATATATTATCACAAGTTTTAGTACACTAGGTATTTCATATATCTTCTAGTTTCACATCGATTTTCTGTTTTTATTAAAGCCACTACGATACAAACTACTACTCTATTATATAATCCTGATAATTGTCCAATGAAAGATTTTGTTCAATTACCTAACGGTACATGTATATCAAAAATTGATGCACAAGTATGATCAATAAAAGATATATAATCGTTTGTTTATATTAAGTTTTGTTTTTAATGTAGAAAATTACAGTCAACGTATTAAACAATAGATCTTACAATGCAATTGATACAGCTCATGCTCTTTCCTTATATGTAAGTTCAATTACAAATTCAACAACAATAAAAAATCAAACGGATGTTTTATCAGTGAATAATATTAATAATATTGTTGATAATCTAGATGGTGTTAATTTAACTATAAACTCAAATACATCATTTCTTATGGTTCAACATCCAAATAAAGGTAATAATATGATTGTTTTGGGTGTTTCATTTAAACATGGTATTGGTGGTAAAATTGTTGATACATCAAATGAACAAAATATAACGCACTCATTTTTATCAGCTGCAGCTATTGTTAGTCAAGAATCATTAAATGGTGTAATATCTTTTAATATGCTTATTATTGATAAACCTACTGGATATGAATATGTTGATAATTCAACAAATAAAACACTTGCATCATCTGTTATTGTCACTAGTCTACGCCGAAATAGTTCGAATTTTGATTCAATGACTATTTCGTTATATTTTAAACCTTTAGATGAATACAAACGGAATGATTCTGGAAAGTATTTATGTTCATTTTATGATACAAAAAATTTACAATGGAATGAATCCGGTTGTAGTGATGCTCAGTATAATAAAGAATATAATCGATATGAATGTGTTTGTTATCATCTAACTTCTTTTGCTCTTATTTGGTTACCAGAATCGTTATTAACAGAAATTGGTAGAAAAAAACTTGATGCACAAGATATCGCTTCACTTATATTTCAATCTATCTCTATTTTATGCTTTCTAGCAATTATTATTCATGCAATTAGTGTACGTATTATAAAATCACCAATAAATATCCAAGCGCTTAATTTACTTCCATTAATCTCAACGGCAAGTACTACCATACTTTTTATTTTTTTTATTATACTTTCTATGACTGTATATACACAAACATCATCTTCAAATCAAACTCAATGTTTTTTAAGTTCAAGTATATTGATGTTTATTACTTATTTCTTGTTAATTTTTATGTTTTGCGTAAAAACAAGTGTTGGATATTTTTATTATTTACGTTTTGTTCGTCTTTTTCCACAACCATCACATCGAAAACTTTTTATTATGCTTATAATCTCATTGTTTATTTCTCTCTTATGTGTTGCTTTTGCAATTGGTTTCAATACCAAACCATCGTATAATATTACACAATTATATCCATATAGACTTTGTTGGTTTTCTCGAAATGTTATTTATTATTTTCTAACAATACCTATTTGTACATTTCTTTTACTTAATATTATAACAATTATTCTTGTTTCGAAAAGTATAATTACTTATACACGTAATGCTGTAACATCTGGGCAAATAAATGAACGATTAAAACGATGTATTCTTGTTTTATTATCATCATGTGTAACACAAGGTATTGGATGGTTGTTTGGTCCCTTTATTTCATTTATAAGTCCAATAGCTGGAAATATTTTAGGATGGATTTTTATTATATTGAATGGATTGGAAGGTGTTTGGTCAATAATTTTGTATGTATTAATTCGGTCACAACAGATGGATAAGCAAAGATATGCTTCAGCTGCAATAGAACTTTTAAAAACAACTGGTGTTCCATCAAGTAAAGATAAAAAATCCAATAAGAAAGAAGAACAAAAAGAAAATGATGTTCAAATCATGCATAAGAATGTAGAACACGAACAACCATCTATACGCAAGAGAGAAGTGATGGATTTTCCCATTGATGACAACTTAATTAAAGTATCAAATTAAATACACTTTTACGGTTTTATTGTATTGTAGTTTTTTTTTTTACAAACATATGTCTAGTCAATGTGTTTTATTAGAGCCTTCACAAGATTCTACTCTATATTAAATTCAATTACTTATTTTACTCGTATTTTAATAAAGGCATATCTTTAATTTAGGATTCACAATTATACTATGATAAAATTCATTTTAACTACGGTGTTTTTTAATACTAACGAAATTGATTTATCTCATAAAATTCTCTTTTTTAAAAAGATTAGAATTATTTGATCATATTCTTTATCAACAACCATGCACATATTCGTCAGTTTAGAGGATTTGTAGTCTTTTGTTTCGAAATTTTAGAAGCTTCTATTTTTTTGGTATGTAGCTTCTTCTAAGTCATTTTCACGTATAGATTTGATATTTAATTCATCTTCTGAAATTTATATTGTACGTAATATCACGTTTCAAGATTTTCAATTGAAATATATTCGAATGTTGAGTTATCAGATTTTTCCTATTAAAAAAGAAGAATTTAATTCAATAGACTTAAAAAAAATACCATCAACAGAAACAATTTTGGTTTTCGTGTATCATAACTCTGCTTTTTGGCAATGAATAATTCTTCCACGACAAAAAAATCCAAGGCATATCTTCTTTTTAAATCTCCAGAGTGTGAGTGACAAGATGATTCACACTTTCTCGAAAATGTTATTTTTTAAGACTCATATATATATTGAACTAGATGGAATGTAAAGAATGTCTGTCACGATTTACTGCCAATTGGTTATTTGGAAAAAGGGACAAGAGCAACTGACTACGGCATGTGTGGGTCTTCGTTTCAATCACATTCACATCCACACTATTTATTTGCCCTTGTCTCTTCTTCCAAATAATGAATAGAAAGTGAATTATGCAGATGGTATACGACATCTAGAGGGCACGAAATAGTTTTTGTATTAGCTTGTAAGAAAAAAGCTCTTAGTATTTTTTTGTGCATAAAATCCTATTCGATTTAAGATTTCAAAATCTTTTTTCGTGTAATATACAAAACCGATTGTCTTTCAATTGACAAATATAATTAAGTATCGAACAGATTTAATGAACTTGTTTTCTATTTCTGACAATATCTAACGATGATTTGAATAATGAATATGATTGAATGACAATGATTAAATTTTCCACAAGAAATAACATAAAAATCAACGATGAATAACAAAGAAAAACTCAATTTAAATAAACCAAAAACAGAATAACACAAGGATCAGAATCATGTGGTATTTTTTCATTTTGATTATAGGATTTTTTCAACCTATTCCTATATTATCATTAAATGAAACATGTTGGCCAACAGCAAATAATTTAACATGTGTTTTAAATGATTTACTTTTTGGATATAATAAAATATTGAGACCTAATCATACTGGTAGAATTTATTTATTGAAAAAATATATTCGATTATATCTTGTCGATTATTTTTTTGCTTAAAGGAGATCCAATTCATGTTCAAGTGTATTTAATGATTATTACTCTCGGTATGTCAAATATGACAATGTCTATCGATCGATATTTATTATCTATTATTTATTCTAGGACCTATTGTCGAATTAGATATGGTAGGATATGTTTTTTTTTCAATTATTACTTCGTTTTTTATAATTTACAGTCATTTACAATGAATTTATTCTTTCGTCAAATTTGGACTGATGAACGTCTTACATTACCTAATAAAATATCAAATGTAGCTGTGTCAACAAAATTACTTAGGTTGATTTCAATTTCTTGTTTCTTTCTTTGTTTTTTTTTTCTTATACCGAAGAATGTTTTTTTTAGTGCAATATGGAAACCTGATACATATTTTATGAATTCTCATTCTGGTTATCTTCATACAACACCAACACTTAACCATCTTTTACGTATTCTTGAAAATGGTCGATTATTATATTCAAGTCGGTATGTTTATTTGTTTCATAATTTTATTTATTAAAAAGAAATCATATTGATCTTATTTTTCTATAAGATTAACAATTAAATCTTATTGTTCAATGGTATTACAAAGATTTCCATTAGATGTTCAAACATGTTCATTAATTTTATCAAGTTGTAAGTTAAAATAAAATAATAATAAAAAAAATTCGATTTATTTCTGTAATTAAAGATGCTTATGGAACACGTGATGTTATTTATGATTGGAAACTTGATGAACATAATGGTGTCGAATTAGAACGCTTAAAATTATCTCAATTTGATTTATTTAATTATAAAATTTCAAAAAGAGAAATTCAACTAAATGAACGTATGTAGTTATACAAAAAAAAAGCCATATGTTTTTTTTTTCATTCTGTTAAAAGGAAATCATTCTGTACTTCAACTTGATCTTCAAATGCGTCGTAGTGTTGGTTATTATTTATTACAAGGTTATATTCCAGCATCTTTACTTGTCATTTTATCTTGGATATCATTTTGGATTGATAGTGAAGCAACGGCCGATCGAGTTTATATTGGTTTGTCAATGATTAGATTAAATATTGTAAATTTTATTTAAATGTATTTTTCACTTAGGTATTACTTCTATACTTAGTCTTACAACACTTGCACTTGATATTCGCTCACACATTCCAGCTGTACCTTATTTAACTGCTATTGATTATTTTTTTATAATTTGCTATTTATTTTTACTTGCTTCATTAATTCAATACACTGCTGTTCATCGTTATCTTGAAGTAGGTGTATAAGAATTAAAAGTTCGTAATTTAACTGTAACATAAATTTATTTTACTTTATTCTTTTAGTATGGTCATTCATTAACTAATACACGTGCTAGTGAAGATTTATGTGAATCATCAAGACAACGAAATATGTCAATTGCATCTCGTTCGTCAAATTTATTTGCATTAAGATCTAGTCGTGTAGCAAAAGTTCGTTCAGCACAACATGCCCGTCGTTCAACATTGGCTGTTGTTGCCCAAGGTTTACTTTTTTTAACACGAAAAGCACCATTGCATAAACTTGATCGTCTGGCACGCATTGGATTTCCAGTTTTATTTATTGTTTGTAATTGTATTTATTGGTACATTTTTGTTTTTTATACATCTAATTGAATTTTCAATCTATGTCTATAGAAAAAAGTCTTATAGATGTTGTAAAAATAAAATGTACATATTTGCTGGAATTTATGTATGTGTGAGCTATAACTTTTTTCAACTAGACATAGTGAAATAAATTCACATATAAGTGTTCTAATGTTGATTTAAAGGCCAAAAAGAAAAAGAAAAATCTAAGCAAAATAAATTTCGTTTTGGTTTACTTAGCACAACTATTTATAAAATCTCAAGGTCGAAATGTAGACTTTTTAAGAATCTTTTTAAAAAGTATAATGAAACAGCTTGAGTTTTATTTATAATTACCAACCACAAAAAAAGTAAAGCATATTCTTTCCTTATCCGTCTCATACTTAAGCGAGACAATAAATAGACGATACAAGTAGTTATTTTTACTAACGGATTAAACTAATAAGTACATTTATTATTTGTCGTCATCTGCTTCGATTTCTTTTGCATATTTAACTGTTCACTACATTTATTGTAATATAACAACGAAAGAGAAATAGAAGAGAATTCATCAGGGACGTTGATATTATTATAGAAGTTTACCTACAGAATTGAATGAATGACATACAAAGAACGAAAGACTTCGAAATTAGGCAGTATATATAAAGTAAATTGCATGTGAAATTATTCGAAAAAGAATACATTGACGTCTCTTAAATTTGTTTGGTTTTCTTTTACAAGGAAAAAATATGAATGATTGCTGAAATGTGTAATGAAAAAACATAAAATAAAAAACGTACAAATTTGGTTTTTCTTCTTCTACTCGTCTCTTTAATTCTGAAGAGAATAAAAAAAGCACACGAACGAAATCGATTCACTTTCTTTTACTTTTTTTAGTTGAAATACTGTTTATGTATTGTCGGACGAATGCAAAGTGATGTAGTGTTTGTTCATTTGTCTGAAAAGTTTATTTCGTATTTTGATTATTCATTCTCTCGAGACGCATGAGACAAGCCATTCGTAGCTGACTACACCAAATACTTTTTTTTTCTATGTGTACTTCAGTCAATATTTCTAGAAGAGTAAAAAAAGAGCAAAGTCACGGTTGTTTATACATTTAAATAAGTGGAGTGTGAGATATATAATGCCACAATGAAATGATTAACTTAATTGCATCGTTGGTTCTTTTTCAGATTATTTGACTATCATCAGCATTGCTGTTATGTGACTATATTATTAAAACAATATTCTTTTCGTATAGAATTTACTGCGATTTACTTACTTGCATCTTTTTTCAACGATAATCTAACGATTGCAATCAATCTAAAAATCCAACTATTTGATGATATATAAGAATATTCGTTTTCATTGAACAACTTATCGAATATGAAGGTTATCCAGTTAAGATTTTATGTGATATTTTTATTGATTTTTGGTATTTGTCAACCGCAATCTGACACAAGTAAGATTTATTTTATAACTCATGCTACATTAAAGGTATTTGTGGGACTATCAAAAACAAAAAGATAAACATGTTCATCAGATTTTAGACCGTAACTGATTCACCTCGAGCAAGTTATGAAACAAGCACAGATTCTGAAAAAAAAATCATCATCAATGGAAAAGTCATGGCAAAAATGCCAAACACTGTTAGACCATGTTTTCGACCTTCAATTCAACTTTTTTTTCTTGTTGAAGGAGCAATAACTCAACTATAGACCTAAGCAGATTTTGAAAAGCATACGGTGAGCACGACGAAGGATTGAAAATTTACAACACGTGTTTTTTTTCGTTCTGTTCCAATGTCGAGTACCTCGGCAGGTATCAGATTCTCAATACTGAAAAACTATATCCCATGAAGTACTCATTTTCGACTTCTCGAACACGTTTCGACAAGTCGACACTAATCGAAGTTTCGAATATTAGACAAGAGGGATTCTATCAAAAGAATATTATCAATTGTTCGAAAAAATTTCAACTACTCGAACATACTAACATAAAATGTGTTACATATGTCTTACTTTGCAATACAGTGTGCGACACGTGGTGCTCTTTGAAACACATTTCTACCATTGAGCCTGCGGCATATTCTATTGCGACGCATTTTTAAAATGTGATTCGGATTCACCATTCAGCACGTCTGCCATTTTTTCTGCATAATTGAACGGTTACTACCACTCAAGTTTAATTGGCATTGATAATACCTATCTGTGGAGTTGAAGACGGCAAGATCTTAAGATCTAGCCAGCAGAAATGGATTTGGTCTTAAACAGACTGCTTTGAGGAAGTTGATTCTTGAACATCGATCAATTTTTCGACGGGTTCTTCAAAAAGAACTACTTAGTCAACAAATAATCTAGAATAAAACATATAGGAAAATGCGCGAGTTCAGTATGTTTAGCAGAGTCAGTTATATGTAGCTGCAAGCGCAAATTAAAACGGTGAATGAATGGTGAGTCGATAGACTACGACACGTTGCAACTGCGGCACGTTGTCGTGCTAGAGCTCGCAACACTGTCGCGACCCCAAAACAATGTATACGAAATCAATATACATTATGGATTTCATCGTATGCAATCGTAGTTTGACCTATGAAGTGGCTCCATATTACGATCCTATTTTTCCGTGTTGTATAGGGAGAAATGCGATTATAATATGGAGCTATGCAATATGTCAAAATACAACAATTTACAGTTGTTTAAGAGCGTGTATGTTCGACTTGGGGAGTGGCACACTTTATTTTAGTGTGAAACCTATCAAAGTTTCGACTATTCAGAAAAAAAAACACATCCAAAGGATACTTTCGGATGCTCTAGGAAAAATAAGTGTAGCATAATAACAGTTTCGACTGCTAAGTTTAATTTTGATTACATGAAATATCTTCAAAAAGTGATTTTGAAATATCTTTTACGTTTATTCAACAATCTTAACGGAACTATCTATGCTCAGTCCATATCTTACCTTAATATCATTATTTTCTAAGCAATATGTAACATCAGCTGATGAAAAATAAGATCGAAATCTGTTAGCATTCTTAACGAAAACATATTTATAACCAATTTTTGCGCTGTTAATATTGAAAAAAATTCAAAATATTGATTTTTATAAGTACCTTATCACAATGATCAGTTGATTATCAAATGAATTCTTTATATAGCATCTGAAATTCGAGAAAAACTCCTTTTTTAATTTGAGATGTGCAAAAGTTTTGCTTATCAACGAAAAAATGATATTTTTAATTAATAAAAATGACTAGCAAATGTTTAAATAAGAAACGCAATCGTCAAAATATTATATTTGTTTACGAATTGAAAATGTGACTGTCATATATAAATACTAGTTTATATTTAGTTGGGATGTTTGATCAAGGTGAATCGTAATACTCATGTTCGAACATTCTTCTCTCGGTATATGAAACGATTTTCAAGTGAGCTAGCGGTAGGGTAAATGACTAGTCTTCTTTCTAGTCAAGTCGGCATGACACGACTAATCAGAGGCTCAAAAAGTCCTCGTTCAGGACTAGTCTGAATTTGACTGTGCCCTTGGGCTCCGTTATTGCCAGGCGTCATTAGGCGCATGTAGTCTAGTCTTTTGCTTGAAATAGACTAGACAGATCGGGTCGACATGACGCTCCTAAGAAAATGATTTAAAATTAAGAAAATAAAGATCGTCAAGGACGATTCATATGAGAAACAATAGTGAGATGGATCGAACTAATTTTTACACGTATACGTCAAAATGTAAGATGAAGTGAAAGATTGGATTGGAACATACGTACAGTCTGTTACTTACACGTTATTTGAACAACTGAACTATATAATCGAGAGCTACTCGTTTATGTCTCGCTTAAAATTAGTAGACACTGTCAAATTCAAGTTTATTTAGAAATTTTCTGAAAACTTTTATATGAATAAAAAAATGATCCTAACACAAAATTAGGTATATTAGATAAAAAAATAGTGTTTTTTTTTCATTCTAAATCGATAAAAAAGAAAATTTTACTCGTTAGGTTTTACATAATATGAGTCCATGTCCTGAAAATCGCTGAAAAATTGGCGATTAATCGTGATATATCGAAACGATAATCGTGAGCTGAAACGCGATTAATCGCCGATTTTTAATGGTATTTTTAGTGATTATTACGATAAATCGCGAGTTGTTTCCCGATTTTTTACATATTAACTATAGCTTTATCGTCAATCTGATCTGGTATTATCGCGATTTCAGAGAAATTTTATTTATTTTTTTAACTCTATCTATTTTTTAAATTTATTTTTATTTAAAAAACATTTATCATTTTGATCACGCTTAAATTAAAANCAACAACAACAACAACAGGAACGACATCAACCTCTACATCAACAACAACAACAACAGGAACGACATCAACCTCTACATCAACAACAACAACAACAACAGGAACGACATCAACCTTTACATCAACAACAACAACAACAACAGGAACGACATCAACCTCTACAACAACAACAACAGGAACGACATCAACCTCTACATCAACAACAACAACAACAACAGGAACGACATCAACCTCTACATCAACATCGACAACAATAGCAACGAGTACTTTGGCGTCGACAACAACAACAACAGGAACCTCATCAACCTCTACATCAAGTACTTCGTCATCAACGAGTACAATGACGACAACGGCTACCACGGTTTATACTCCTGATGGTTGCAGAAATTCATCTCAAGTGGCGTTAGCTAATGGAACGTGTATTTCCTCTAATAGTGGACAGGTTTGAATAGGAGTCTTTGTGATTGTGATCTAATGCTTCTTCTATTCGTAGGAATTGTCAGCTGGAATATTAAATAATGGTAACGGTAGTTCAGTCGATTTAGCCAATGCTCTTTCACTCTATATATCGTCAAGTGCTAGTTCGAATTTATCAAGCACCTCTAATAGTACTGTCACGATCAATAAAATTGATGAGGTGCTTGATAAACTCAATAATGTCAGTATCACAGTGAATTCAACGAACTCGTTTCTGTTTGCTCAAGAATTGAACAAAACTAGTGACGATATTGTGTTGGGTGCTAGATTTCAACGCGAGTCAGGTGGCCGACTCGTTACGAATTCAACTGAACAAGATGCATTAAATTCTCAGTTTTCCGCTGCTGCTATAATTTCTAAGGAATCTCTAGAAAATGTCACATCTCTGAAAATGTTTATCATTGATAAACCAACCATGTACAAAGATGTCGACAATTCAACGAATAAGTCTCTGGCATCATCATTAATTGTCGGCTCAGTGACACGCATTGGTTCTCGATCAAATGCAATGAATATTTCTTTATATTTCAAAGTTTTACCAGAATATCAACCAAATGTAAGTGCTGCATATCTATGCTCATTTTATGACACCAATAGTTCGCGTTGGGATGAAACAGGTTGCAGTAATCCTCGTTTTAACGAAATATTTGGTCGATATGAATGTAATTGTAATCATCTAACGTCTTTTGCTCTCATTTGGCTACCACAATCATTATTAGGATCATATGGGCGGACTCTACGAGCAGCTGATATTGCATCACTTGTATTTCAATCAGTGTCTGTTGTGTGCTTTTTAGTTATTATTATTCATGCTATTTATGTTCGAGTTTCTAATCCATTAATGCAGTTTCAAGCCAATAATTTACTTCCACTAATATCATGTGCGAGTACAACTATTCTTTTTGTATTCTATATTGCACTTGGGATGACAGTATATACTAAAACAACATCTGAAAAAGAAACGAAATGCTTCTTAAGTTCAAGTGTATTGATGTTTTTCGTTTATTTCTTTTTAATTTTCATGTTTTGTACCAAAACAAGTATCGGTTATTTTAATTATCTTCGGTTTGTGCATCTCTTCCCACAACCATCATTGCGTCGACTATTCATTCTACTTCTAATTTCATTTTTTTTCTCGATAACTTGGGTTTCTTTTGCAGCTGGGTTTAATTCTAATTCATCGTTCAGTGTTACCCAATTATATCCATACAGACTTTGCTGGTTTACTCGGAATGTTGTCTATTATTTTATGACAATACCAATTTGTTTATTTCTACTAGCGAATTTCATCACAATCATTTTTGTCGCTCAACATATTATTAATCATGTTCGAAATGCTACATCTCCACATCAAACATATGAACGAATGAAACGATGCATTCTGGTTTTACTATCATCGTGTGTTACACAAGGTGTTGGATGGCTATTTGGTCCATTTATTTCATTTGTTAGTCCAACAGCTGGGGAGGTTTTAGAATGGTTTTTTATCGTATTCAATGGATTAGAAGGTGTTTGGTCTGTACTTCTCTATCTTATAATTCGATCACAACGAATAGATGAACAAAAACGTGTTACAGCTGCTGTTGAAATTACGAGATCATCTAGTATCAGAGCTAGCAGATATGAGAGACGGTCTGACAGGGAAGATCGGAGACGAAGTAGTGCTAGAATAAGAGAAGTGGAAGTTGTACAACGAAATGTGCCTAGAAAATCAGCAGATGTATCCAATGATCTAAGTGATCGTATAAGTATTGATTTACCAGTAAATGAAAAGGATATTTCATTATTGTAATTGAACTTTTATTCCTCTTTCAGTTATATAAACAAAAATGTTGTCTAGTCATTTTTCTTTTTTTTCTGTATCACGAATATTGTTTGCTGGATCGTTTTTGATTGTTTAACTTATATTTTCCAGTCTTTTTACACATGATGATTCATTTCGAAATCTTATAGCAGAATATGTTTTCGATTTTTTTTGTATGAAGAAAAAATAATTATTTAAAAATCTCTTAGACAAAATAACTTGTAATAATTGTACATATTTAATAATTATGACAGAAGAGGTATTGACATGTTAATCTAAATAACATGAATTATTTCGCTCGTACAGTGCTTATTTTGTTTTTGGTTTCTTATACAAACACTTTTCTGTGTTTCGTTTTTACATGTTTTTCGCGACTGAAGATAACATTCGATTGTTTTGCTTTGAATAATTTAATAAAACGGTAAAGTATTGTATTTGATGATGATAAATTATGCATGTTATTTATTAGTGTATTGCGTCAGCCAGTTTAAAAAGTATAGAACTTCATCAGAAATAAAACGAAATGCATGTCACGCACTTTCATGACCAGAAACTATACAGTAACTAGCTTGGTGCATTAATAGTGAGCAATACAAGACTAATTGTCTGTAAAGACTTATTTTGAAAAAACTCAATGAGTTAGATTGGAATAAAAAAATGAACCATTGACTAACTTCATCTTCATTAGAAGCAACCCATGTCGTAACAGCCGGATCATTTTTAGCGGTAAACCGCGGTTTACCAGCTAGGAGCCGGTAAATCGATCAAAACCGGTGATTTACCGCGGTTAGCTGAGAAAAACTGCGGTTAGCTGGAAAAAACCGCGGTAAACCGGAAAAAACCATCGGTTTTCAGCTGTATGGGAGCCGGTAACCGGATCGGTAAAACCGCGGTAAACCGCCGGTTTTCTTCCAGTTTTCACTACATGGGAAGTAAAAAATTGATTTCGTTCATTAATATTTGATCCATAATTTATTTTTATATTATAAAATTCACTTCAACGCAAGGTCGGTGCTCTTCTCTATTGACAGCCGAAGATTAAATAAGTGTTTTCACAAGTGGTACAAAGAAATCCGATGAACTTGAAGTTTGTCAATAGATTTACTTTCATTTTCAATAAAAGAAGAAGGTTGAATTGTATGGTTTACGTCTTTTCTTTCCCTTATAATCAACGAATAAGTGAAAATTAATATGACAAAATATTTATTCATTTTTCAGCCGATAAAAGAGATCTGCAGAAATTTGAAAACATAGGATTAGACTCAACATTTTGTATTGTTTTCGAACATAGATTTAACATTTTTGTAGAACTCATAGTTTAGAAATGATGATGTGATCTTTTAGAGGCACAAAAATTAAGTTTGGACAGAGGAAATTGACTTTGTTTGCAGCGGTGGGCTCTTTTATTGTAAATATTATATTAACGATTCTTTTAGCATAGAATTAAAGACAAGATAGTTTTCTACAAAGTGATATTAGAATCAAGAAATTCAGAATAATCATTTACAAACGGCAGGGTACACTTTGCAAATCTGTTTTTCATAGAAATTCAGAAAAATATCTAGATTGACACGGTATCCGTTGCCAAAATACTCACTGTTAATAAATGACTCTCAGCAAAATAAATAATCATTGGTATAAAAGTTTGTGAGAAAACGCTTGTTCTTCCATGCACTTTATTTAAAATTATTTTCGTTTCTAATTTGGAAAATTTTTGACGCATTGAAGTATATTCACACTTAATATACGGCTCGCTGAAAAGTCAACTAATAAATTCTAAACTAGAAACTTTACAAAAATGTTGAACTCATATTTAGAAAGAATGCAAAATTTTGATTCCAACCTAATAGTATCACATTTCTACAGGTTCCTCTAATAGATTAAAAAATAAACGAACATTTTGCTAAATTACATTTTGATCTCCCGTTATATCTATTTTTTAAAGATTTTTATGTGTACTAGTTTAGATCCCATTTGACTCACAAATATACTCAACAATCATCATTAATTCAATAGTAATTCCAACAGTAGAAGATAAATTTCACTTAAACCTATTATCATTTTCGTTTATGATAGAAGAAGTCATAAAGCATTTTAGATTTGCTAACAAGAAGATTCTCAATATGATTCTCTAACTATTTTATTGAGAAATTTTTATTTTTTATAAGCATTGTAATTATTTACAATCAGCACAAATACAATTTTTGGAAATTCACAATCAATCATTCCCATTATTTTTCCAGAAAAAAAACATGAACAGATGCTATGATCACCATTATAAACATTACACTGGTTGATACTACTTTCACAGCCCTCACGACTATACTACTGGTAATATTCACTTTTACTATCATTATGGCCAAAACAGTACAAGATTCCTTAGATACGATTCACAGAATATGAACAAAACAAACTAATATTACTACTACTACAGAAACAGCTGAAAAAGTTATACTACTTTAAATACCATCGAAATATTTCCAAAAAGATTCTGTTGCTACAATTGATGTAGATATAGCTACAACAATATTTGAATTTATCCGAACTGAAATAAACGGTAATAAACTCTATTTCAGCGACCGTTATAGAGAAAGATACAGCAGATTCCTTTACGACTATCTCTATAGATCGAACAACCATGATTCTCATTGATACAGAAAATACTATAACAAGACTATAAGCATCATAAAAGTGAGAAAAAAAACCGAAAGAGCAAGAGACATCGAGATTCCAACTTGTATCACTACTATTTCTACTATACTCAAAATGTCAATAAGGATCGAGTCTATGATAATTTTTACTAAGTAGTTTTCAGATTTTTTTGGACGTCTCAACAGTTTCGTCTCATTTTTCCACAAGAACATCAGCAACGATTATGAGTTTTACTAATATTACGAATACATTAGAAATTATAATCACCACTCAACGTGCTATTTTTTTAATTCATTTCATACTGTACTATATAATCAGAACATAATTAACGACAACAACTAATACTAACATTGGGTCTCCTAGTTGCAAATATAGAGCTGACTTGCAATTCGACAATGATGACTGTGTTACAGTAGAGAAGACACAGATAAGACAACATTTTTTAAGGTGTTGCATCAATGATATTCCCATCAATTTCTATTCTCTACTTTATTGCAATTATTATTCATAGCATCATCATTCATGTTTTCAATTCTCTTATGTCCATGCATGCGTATGATTTACTTCAATTAACGATTTGAAAATTTGCAGAGAGACGATTTTAACAAGAATAGTTGATTATGAAAGTTTCAAGTCTTTATATTTGCTCCTTTTGCTGAACTAAGAACATCAAATTTTCCGATGAATATGTGAACAGTGTAAAAGAGAAGCTTTATCCTAGCTGTATATTAGGATAGAAACAACAAAACGATCTAAAATTTTCACAATGAACTATTCTCGATAAGGCTAGTTTCTATGGAAAGTTTTCAGTTGAAATAAAAAAACGAGTTTTTCTATTGTTCCTGAGGAAGATCACGGCATTGACTTCAGAAAGATCGTAAAAATGCAACATGCCGTCAAGAATAAGCTAAAGGTGTGAATTGTTTTCAGGATATTCATCGCTAATTAGATCTACAGGATGCACATAGTATCGACTTCAAGAGTGTTAATCAGTTCGGATATTTCCCTTGTTAGATTGAAATTTAAAACTCCTTAGAAAAAAACTGTATCTTCATATGAAATATGACTCAATCTTCATTTGCAGAACAACATTCTTACAGTATAAGAACATGTAAATACACCTTTTAAAATTGCTTGAGAACAGAAATCAACAGACAAGTCTTAGCGTAAATCATCACTTTCTCACAACTTTTTTTTTCTCCTTTTCTTACCTAAACATATTCTTTCGTCATATGTCAGTGCAATCGTGGATATCGAAGGTTTCATTTTAAGATTTTATCTAGTAAAGTTACACAAGATTTAGATTCGATCAATATTATTCATCGGTAATCTGCTTCTTATAATCAAAACATTTGATTTTCACATTAACAATTCATAAACTTGGGCATGAATTCTGTATGTTTTTATTCATTCTCTGCAAAAATATGATATCATGAATAATAATTTTTTTTTGATCTAACTATTCGTGATAACAGTCTTAAAAATAAAAGAAAAACTGACATAAATACTATTGATTTTAAATTTTATCTCTTCTTTCAAACAGACTAATATCATATTTTATCATTGTTTTAATCGCTGCATCATGATTTGGCGGGTAAAACTTTTATACATTGATTAAATATTTGTTTTGATTATACAAATATATTTATATCATGTCTTCCTCATATCAAATCTAGTCTAATATACACTAAAAAAAACCAGTTTAAATTTAACTAAAAAAGTACTTTTCTTTTACATCAAACAAAATCTGATATTTTGATAAGAAGTCAAAGAACAATATTATTGCCTTAACTCAATATTATAATACAACATAATTTATTAAAACATCCACCCATTCGATCTATATATCATAACACTTGTTTTTTTCTCTTGCTCATTTTCTTTGGCGAGTATAGAACATATACGTAATATTGACTTGACAGTAGAAAAAACTACCTCACAGTAGAATCAAATTTCAATCCACACTTTATATATATCTATCGATGTTTTTCTTCAGTAGTAAAGAGAAGGATATTAATAAAATGCGTTTAATAATCAGTACAGAATCATGCAACTTATATCTAATGATAATTTTATGCAATATTATTATTTTACACTGCGAAATTTCGAACGACAATAGTCCAGACACTGTGATTCATATACAAGATGCACATTTACTCATGCAATATGGGCAAATTACAATAGAAGGCAGTACAGACGAAAGTAAAAATTATTTCTTTATTATCAATAATATAACATAGTATTTTAGCTGAAACATCGACATATATAACAACGACTTTAATTGAAACAAGTAAGATGAAGTCATGATTCTATTTTACTTGATATTTTTCAAATTCTCCTTATACCTTAGCAATTTTTACGACAAATATTTCATTAACAACTGATACCATTAGTGTTTCTTCACATACCAGCACGACTACATCTGCAAATGGCTCAGAAACTTCAACTACCACTACTCCTCCTCCTAATACTTGCAATGACACGTCGCAAATACAATGGATTAATGGTACATGTATTTCAAAATCCGAAGCGCAGGTATGATATAAAATACCTTTTATGTCTCTTCTTATTATTTTTCTTTATATTGGGTTGGTGGGAAACTTTGGGCCGATTTTTTTTCTTTTCAATTCTTTAAAAATTTTATTAGAACAAAATACCATCAATCAACAACATACTTCCATCTTGAGGGTGTGGGCATAGCTGGTATTTACATCTATGTCCATACCCATATCCTAGATTTGTCTAAGAGATGGGAGTATGTTGTAGATAACAATGGTACATATGTTGTTGATTGATGGTATTTTATTCTAATAAAATTTTAAAAAATTTCAAAAAATCGGCCAAGACTTTTGCACCAACCCAATATATATATCTATATATATAGACACTTTCAGTCAATATTTTACGCAATAATTCCACCAATTCAACTGAAAAATCCAATGCTCTGTTTTTATATTTCGGTTCAACTGATAGTTTCCCTCCAAAGTCAAATGCAACTAATCTTTTAACACCTGGTGACATTGATGACATAGTTGATGGATTGAATAATGTCAGCCCAATAAACTCAAGCACAGGGTTTCTTTTCGCACTACCAACAAAAAATGGAACTGATACTTTGCTAGGAGGTTCATTTAATCCTACAGCAAATACTGAAATCGTTACAAACAATAATAAAATGCGTATACTCAATTCGAGTGCATTAGCTGCAGCTATTATTGATAATGAAACAGTGCATAATACTGAGAGTATTAGCGTATTTATACTGCATGAATCTAAAGCATATAAAAATTTAGATATTTCAAATAATCAATCTCTTGTATCACCAGTAATCATATTTGGTGTCAAGAAAAATGTTAGTAATTCTTCAATCACTACTTTTTTATATTTTCAAGTTTCAAAAGAGAATGAAATGCATAATCATGACCAATATAAATGTTCATTCTTTAATAGTAATACTTCCAAATGGGACACAGCTGGTTGTACCAAACCTAAATACAACGAAACTCACACTCGTTATGAATGTAGTTGTAATCATCTTACAACATTTGCTCTTATTTGGTCACCGAATCTAGCAAATACAACATATCTCACTTCTCAAGACATTGCGTCAATGATATTTCTATCAGTTTCTATTCTCTGTTTCATTGCAGTAATTATTCATAGCTTCACTACTCGTCTTCTCAATCGTCTTATGTCAATGAATGCGCGTGATTTACTTCCATTGATTTCATCTGCAAGTACAACTATTCTTTTTATATTTTTTATTGCACTTAGTATGACAGTATATACTCAAACAACACCTGAAAATGGAACAAAATGTTTTTTAAGTTCAAGTATATTGATGTTTTTCGTTTATTTCTTATTAATTTTCATGTTTTGTACCAAAACAAGTATCGGTTATTTTAATTATCTTCGATTTGTTCGACTCTTTCCTGAGCCATCATATCGAGAACTATTTGTACTACTTATTATATCTTTTTTTATTTCAATAAGTTGTACTTTTTCTGCAGTGGGATTTAAGTCTAACTCATCGTATAATATAACTCAATTACATAAAAATAAACTTTGTTGGTTTACTCAAGATGTTGTCTATTATTTTATGACAATACCTATTGGCATATTTCTTCTACTAAATTTAATCACAATAATTTTTGTCGCTAGACGTATTATTAATCATGTTCGATATGCTAGATCTCCTCATCATACGTATAAACGCATGAAACAATTTGTTATTGTTTTATTATCATCCTCTGTTACTCAAGGAATAGGATGGTTAATTGGCCCAATCTTAACAATTGTTAATTCCAATGTTGGAAATATTTTATCATGGTTTTTTATTGTTTGTAATGGGCTTGAAGGAGTTTGGACAATACTTTTATACATCATAATTCGATCAGAACGTATGAATGAACCAAAACGAGTTACTCATGGTAAAAAACATATGAAGAAGTTATTTTTAGCATCAGCTAAAAACAAGAAAAAGGAAAAAATAACTGATTTCAATAGTGTCTCAGGAAGAATACATCAAGTTAGTCATCGAAATGATCGAAAGTACAGGTCGATATTTGATGATCTTTATGACACGAAATCTGTTGATTGGCAAACAAGCATTTATCCAGCATAATTATTTTTATTTAAATCAAATTTTCGCTTTCGGAAACTTGCAATAAAGTCTTAATATAGAAAAAATTTGTTTTCAATTTTTTAAAATTCTTAATAACATATTTGTGCAGAAGTTTTTCTTACATCTATTCGTTAATGGGAATCTCTTCCATTCTTGACTTAAAAAAAAATTTTCGATTTCAAGGTTTTCATTTCTAAAAATGTATTGAAATGTTCTCTATCAAGTGCTGTAAAATCGTAGCGGTGTCAAGCTTTTTAAGTCTCGAAAAAAATTAGTTTTGAGAACTCCTTTCTTGAAAAAAGTCTATGGTTTTTCTTAAGACGGCAATCTGTGGATATATCTTACTTATTAACTCTACGAATATTTCTTAGAAACAGCTTTCTATATTCATATTTGATGCAAAACAAACGATAATCTGTAATAATTCAAAAAGAGCAAAAGAGAAAAAAGATATATGTGAAGAAAACAAAATTTTACTTTGTTTTGCGTTTTCCACAAAATCAAATTTTGCACAAAAATAATGAAATTTTCCTCTCGTTTCTCTCACACGGTATGTCTAATCGAACTCACATTTTTCTTTTTGAGTACTTTGGTCCATTTTTTATGCATATTTCTTTTCTCTTCAAAATGTTGTTCCTACAAAATTTGGCAGCTTTTAAAAAATTAGTACCATTGAAAATAAACGCGTTTTTTATTGGTGCTTCTCCAATATTTTGCATCTTCTGAGCTCCAAGAATAATAATTTTGAAAGAAAAAACAACATGCATCGCAATTTGATCCTAGATATTATAAAAACTGATGAGATTTGTGTTCTCTGCAGAGCTGGGCAAGTTGAAGGTTTCTCAAGTCACAAGTCAAGTCAAGTCACTAAAAAAACTTTCAAGTCAAGTCAAGTCAAGTCACAACCCAAACTTTTTTTCGACCAAGTCAAGTCAAGTCAAGTCACGTCCCAAAATTTTTTCGATCAAGTCAAGTCAAGTCAAGTCACACCTCAAAATTTTTTCGACCAAGTCAANCCAAGCAACAATACATCTATATACTATATCACAGTAAAAACGAGCTTAAGCACATAAACAAAAAGGCAAAATCGTATTATCTTAGATGAGAATCCAAACTAGATGATGTTTTTTTTTCTCATGTTATCAATCATTTGGACGATCATTCCACGCTATTCTTGTTTCATAAAATTGAATCAATTCGTCTTCGCAATATTTTTTTGCAATATTAGCTGGAATTAATTCCATATTATCATCAAACATTGTAGGAGATTTATAATGAACAAGATAATGTAATTGATCTCCTTTTGTACGATTAATACCAAGAATAGCTTGAACTTGATAACCTTTTTGAACTCCATATGTCATGGAATTTGTTTCTTGATCTTTATCAGAATTTGTTGCTGAACCAGTTGATGATTCAACTGATTTTGCTGGTTCTTGTTCATCATCGTCATTATCATCATCTTCAATAACTTTAACTCGTCGTTTTTTGGATCGATTGTTATTACTTCGACGTTTTTTAGAATAACTTCGTTCTCGTTCTCTTCGTGAACGTTTTCGTTTGCGTGCTTCTTCACGATGAAATTCAGCTAAACGTTGTGGACAATTTAAACTTGACGCAGGTATCCATTCATTTGCTGAATCATCATAACCTACCCATTTTATAAAATATTCATATCCACCACGACGTCGTCGACGTTTGGCAAGAATTTTTTCCTTAGAAAATAAAATATAAAATCAAATTGAAATTAATTTTTTTCATTTTAACTTACAACTTCATATTCACTACTAGCGTTACTATCAGTATCATCATTATCAGATTCAGATGCTCGTGATTGTGTTTCGTCTTGTTCATCAGATTTTTCAGTACTGGATGTAACAGCTTCATTATCTCCTGCAACGTGCTTGTCACTACTCATTATTTAGAAATGCTTTGGAAATACAATTTTCTTTATTTGTTCGTAACCAATCATTATTTATTACATTAGCGACAATTGCTTCATTCTATTCGTTGTTTTCCTTAGGGCCACGTAATCAATCAATCATTGAACTTCTGTTGATGAGAAAATCGAAGTTCACGAAAAATGACAACTTATCAAGAATTTATAACACAAAATGAAGAACGTGATGGTGTTCGTTTTACATGGAATATTTGGCCATCAAGTCGTCTTGAAGCAACAAGACTTGTTGTTCCACTTGGCTGCTTATTTACACCATTAAAAGAACGTATCGATCTTCCACCATTAAATTATGATCCTGTTCTTTGTACACGTACAACATGTCGAGCAATATTAAATCCATTTTGTAGTGTTGATTATCGAGCAAAAATTTGGATATGTAATTTTTGTTTACAAAGAAATAATTTTCCACCACAATATGCTGGAATTAGTGAACAATTACAACCAGCAGAACTTTCACCACAGTATACAACAATTGAATATACATTGATGGTATGTTCAAAACAAAATTTCATACGAATAAAGTATTGTTTTCTTTTTAGCGTGCACCAGCTCAACCAGCTGTATTTTTATTTGTTGTTGATACATGTATGGATGAAGATGATATGACAGCATTAAAAGTAAAACAAAAAAAAATCATTTTGAAATTCTTATTAATAATTAAGTTTTCTATAGGAATCATTACAAATGGCATTAAGTTTATTACCAAGTGATGCTCTTGTTGGTTTAATTACATTTGGTCGTATGGTACATGTACATGAACTTAATTGTGAAAATATGACACGTAGTTTTGTTTTTCGTGGAACGAAAGATTTAACTGCAAAACAAGTTCAGGTACATACAATTGAATATGCTCTATGCTCTTTTTCCTCATTAAGAGAATTTCTTTATAGGAAATGCTTGGTTTAATGAAACAACAACCAAATCAAAGACCATTACCTGGGAGTGCAAATGCACCACAACAACAACCAAATGTATTGTATTGCAAGTAAGAATTCGATTAGATAGAAAACAATTTTTCTTAGTCTAAGATAAATTACGTAAGCGTATTTAAATGGCTATTGTTTTTAGAAAGTTAAGAGAAATGAAAAATAGAATTTGAAAAATGAAATCCATTGTTGTTATAAAGATGTTTTAATATATATTGGAAAATGAATCCTGTCCATGCTGTAAAACTATCGAAAATGCGAATTGTATGTCTTCATTTGAATCAAATTCAAAATATTCCAGCTCTGACCAGTGGAATATTTAATCGTCAGCCACTTGGTACTAATCCTGTGGAATTAGTGTTGAGTAAACCATGAGAAGAACTTATGCATGTGCTGATTATGACTGCGACATGGTTAAATTTAGGCGAACTCATTTCATGGTAGAGAAGGAGAATGGATAAAAATCGCCCATTTGTACTAAATAACATAAAAATTGAATTTATTGTTAGTCTGATCTTCTTTAACGATATTTTCGCAATTATTTTTTGACAAATGAGTCATTTCGAGAGAGAAAATATAGTTAGACACTCGTAAAAGTGACTATTCTAAGATTGCAAACAGATTTTTCATTTTCAGTATCTTGTCGACATCGTTAGTCTTCATTGTATTTTTATAATATGAAATTACTAGTTCTGATTCATATTCGAAATCACCATTCATGTTGTCAAGGTCTCGTCCAAATAGAAGGCGATAACAAAAGCTACAGGTTTGTGTCATTTTTCGATAATATGTTATTTAAAATCAGCTGTAGAATGCTTTTTGACTGGTAATTAATTCTAATGAAATTTTCACTTTTCTCAAAAGAATGCCATTTTTCAACTCGCTTCATTCATTTTGCTTGGATGCATCTACATGATCCACATAACAACTCTTCTCATCTACATTTAGGACTTCGTTTTGATAGATCAAATAGATGAATGTATGATAAAAGCAATTAGTAAATGGAGTGCGTGCATTTGTAGGAAAACTATATATCCACTTAAAGATATGATTCTTTTCTAGACTGACAACACTCTTTACAGTACTTGTTCTAACTGACAGAGGACATTATAGAGTGTCGATACCCCAAGGTCACTGACCCGAAGACATATCAAACATATTGTGTTCTAGCTTAATATCACAATGTATATGTATTGTTTGCTTTGAACATTATACATTGTTTCTTATTCAAGTCAAGGATAACTTAAACTAATTAGTCTGACTGACAGTAGGGAACATCATAGAATGAAAATAACCTTATCATCGATCTGAAGCAACAGCTACATTTTATTGTCAAATAATAATGTGAAATGAATGCTGAAAAAAATTGGTGATTGAAAAATACTGTCATCCTTATTCAAGACTGCATGATGTCTCAAGAACCATGCCGATCTAATGCTTTCTTACGGTCAATAGATAGTTTCTATGAATAGCTTAACGATGGGTCAACAGGAAGATAATAGTTAAGCAGCTAATATTAGATGATTGGAGCAGTATTGTTGTTTTCTTTTTGCAAATGTTCTAACTTTTAAAGCGCTTGTATTAATTTATTTATTATGTAACAAAGCAAAAACTTCATGGTGAATTTCTTTTGTAATTGAAAAGAATATGGTTTTGCAATACTTTATATTTAGATTTATTCAACCAGTATCGGCATGTGATATGTCATTAACAGATCTTCTTGGTGAACTTCAACGTGATTCTTGGCCAGTACAACAAGGTAAACGTGCAGTACGATCTACTGGAGCTGCACTTTCAATTGCTGTTGGCTTACTTGAAGTATTTCCCATTGTGAACATATTTTATTTTAATTCGATATTTTATTTAGACTCTTTATCCAAATACTGGTGTTCGTATAATGTTATTTATTGCTGGTCCATGTACACAAGGACCCGGTATGATAATTGATGAAGAATTAAAACATACTATTCGATCTCATCATGACATTGAAAAAGATAATGCAAAATATATGAAAAAAGCAATTAAGGTATGAGAAAAAAACATTTCATATATGATTTATAAATTTGAAGTATATTGTAGTTTTATGAAGGTTTAGCAAATCGTGCAGCTGTTAGTGGACATGTTATTGATTTATATTCATCAGCATTAGATCAAACTGGTCTACATGAAATGAAATATTGTTCAAATTATACAGGGTAATTTTTTTGATTGATTGATTGAGTGAAATTTTAATAAGATGATATTTTTTTTAGTGGTTATATGGTTATGAGTGATTCATTTAGCACATCATTGTTTAAACAAACATTTCAAAAAGTATTTGCTAAAGATCATAAGAATGAATATAGAATGAGTTTTGGTGCAACTGTAGAAGTTAAAGTAAAAAATAAATGAATATTTTTAACAATAAATATAGAAAATTATTTTTAGACAAGTCGTGAACTTCGAATATCTGGTGCCATTGGTTCATGTGTTTCATTATCACAACGTGCAGCTAATGTTTCGGAAACTGAATTAGGTATTGGTGGAACAAATGCATGGAAAATTTGTGGAATGTATCCAAATTCAACTCTGTCACTCTTTTTTGAAGTATTAAATCAAGTAAGATTTAATGATTAATTTGGTTGAAAAATATTGAAGATTTATTTATTATTTAGCAACAATCATCAACTGAAGTTCCACCAACTGGTCAACGAGGTTATGCACAATTTATTACACAATATCAACATTTATCTGGATTTAAAAAAATTCGTGTAACAACTGTGGCAAGAAAGTATGAAAATGTTTAGAAATCAAATCGGATAAATTAAAAATAACCTATGAAATTCTGTATGTAAAGGCATAGTGACATGGTCCTTTGACGAATAGTTCATGTTAATGTTAGAATAGATATGAATATAAAGATTTTTTTAAATCTATTCGTATATATGCATTCAATTATATTTTGTCGAAATATACAATTAGATTCACTTATTGCTATTAACAAGTGTAAAAAAGCACACTATAGTTTTTAGCACTATTGCATTTAGTGTTTAATATAGAAATAAAATATTCATCGGACTGATATAATATTATGCGACATTCTGTTTTCCTAATGTTTAATGTTAAGAGTTGCTTTTTTTGATCTTCTCTTCGGATTGATAACTTTTACTATTGAATGTACTAAGTCGCTGCAAAGTGAACAGTTCAATCTATGTAAATCTGAATTATTTCTTTGGAACTTCTTAGCTATTTCAAATCTATTGTAAATGTTTGCTACGAACATCTTAGTTTGAGTTCCTTTCATATAAATTTATCTGACAAAAAAGTCTAAATACTTCATCATACTTCATGATTTAAGTATGATGAAGTATTTGAGCGTTATTAACAGTCAGGCTTATATAAAATGAACCCAAACCAATATGCTCGTGACACACGTTAACAGTAGACTTGACATACTTTTGTAGTACGAAATTTTCACTTCTTCCTCCTTGCTAATAGTTCTTGATGATCGATGAGAGAAAATTGTTCTGCTCTCACTGTTGTATAATTGATGAATGTAAGATTCTGCATATCAAGCTGCTGAAATGTCTGATATTTTCTGAAAATCTTATTTCCATACTTTAGTGTTACTGAAAGAACATTTTGAATGTATTCAGAGTATTCTAATGTCCATTGGTCTAAAATAACTGGTCATTTCAACAGGCCAGTGTATGACACCACACATTCATCAATTACACACCAATGGAGTCAGAATAATTTTCTCTCTTTCATCATCAAGGGTCCTTAGTTACTTCATAGCTCAGATTTAAATACGTTGAACTTTTCGATTGGAGGCGAATTTGTACATTCTCTCAATTAAGAAAAAGTCACATCAAAAGAAATACTTATGCAAAACTGACAACAGATTGTATTAGAAAATCAATCATCATGAGCTATTCGTTTGAATCGTGTTTCGGATAATGATAGATTTTATTCATATTAATCAAAAATATACCATTGAAATATCGAGAGCTCGATTTTCCTTGAGACACGCAATAGATACTTAGTTATCCA